ATTTATATATGTATACTTATATATTTATAATATGAGTTTTTAAAATGTTATTTTTTTTAATGATTTTTATAAATTAAACTAATTTCATTTTTTTTATAGAAATGTTTCAATTTGAATTTTTTGTTCATTTATTTGTAAAAGTTATTTAATTTTATTTACAGTAGTGAAAAATTTAATCATTTTTTTAACATTTTTTATATTACATTCTTAATCAATTGTTGCATGTGTAAAAATATAAAAAGTCAAAAAGTGATTACATTTTCCATCAATTTTTATCAAATATACCATAAAACTTACTAAAAATATTTTTACAAAAAATTATTTCAATTTGTTATTTAAAATTCAAATTGGCGACATTTGTCATTGCATAAATAGTAGTGAAAACAATCGCAAATTTTATTATTTGCAATAGTAAAAAGGTTATTATTTTATATTTTTATTTTATTAAATATTATTAAACAAATTTTTGAAATAATAATAAGCCAAAAGCATACGTTTACATTATTTTTTAACAAATTAAAAAATTGAAATTATTGTCGAAATGTATGGGAAATGAGTTTAGAAAGAATTTCTGATAAAATATCTTTGTTTCTTCTTTCTTTTTTTTTTTTTTTTTTTTTTTCACTATTGAAAAATGTGAAATGTTTAACAGAAGCAGATGTTTGAGTAGTAGGTAATATCTTTTGTAGAGATTTTTTTTTTTTTTTCTTGAGCATTTCAAAAATTCAAATATTAAAAGCTAATTTAAACAAACAATGTGCACTGATGGCGCAAATGGGTTAGCCAATAAATGTGATAATGAAACGTTGACATTCATCATTCTCTGTTTTTTTTTTTTTTATCTTTGTGAATTTATTGATCGTCCTGAATTCTAAATTAAACTCTTATGTAGATAAAATTTTATGAAATGAATTTTTAAAATTATTAACCATGTCAACATAGTGCCTTTTAAATTAAATTAAATTAAATTTTTGAAATGACCAATTAATCAAATTTTTCTTCCTCAATCAACAAAATAAAATTCGGAATTTTTTTTTTTTTAAAAATGTAAAAAAAAAAATATCGATAAACTGTGAGAAGATTAAATGATTGCTATAATTTTCATCGAATTTAATTACTACAACAATGTTTTGTTGTTTTATTTTGATATTAAATGTAACATTTCGAATTAATAGAATTGTGATTTAATCCTAATTAAATTACATGGAAAAAGTGATGAAACAGCTGACGAAAGAAGTGTAAATGGCATAAAATAGATGGATCAAAACGGATTGTTTACTAAATTTCAATTGCTAGTTTGAATTAATGCATAAATTTTATAATAATTAAAAACAATTCATTGAAATGATAAACATCAATAAGGGAAGGATAAAAAAGTTATTTTTAGTAAACATTTCTTTGAGTAATCACTGTAATTTCTTTGAATAATTACTAAATGTCATAAAAAGAAATTTTATTTTATTCAAATATTTTGCTGAAAAAAAATACAATTAAGAATTAAATTGATATATTTACATTTAAATTGATTGTAATAAAAATATTACTTATTGAATGAAGGAAAATTTGCAATTAAAAACTAACTTTTTATTAGTCCTTCTCTCTCTCTCTCTCTTCTTTCTTTCAACTTGTAATAAAAAAAAAAGAAAAAAACTGTAATTTGAGATAATTTCAGTGGAAATAAAAAAGTTTACTTTAATTCAACAAAAGTTAAAAGTTTACATTCATTGGAGAAATAATGAAAGATGAATTTTGTTAGCTGAAATTTGCATATACAAAGCAAAAAATATCACATAGTATATTTACTTTTTCTTATTGGCGCTAAGAGTAATAAATTTTTCTTTATTTTCTTTTTTTTTTTTTTTTCCTTTCTTTTCTTTGCATATATCTCTCATAGACTTAATCTAATCTTTTTTGTTCAATCAATGAAATTAATGTGCTCGTATAAATGGTTAATGGGACATTTGTGAATGTCCTATTTTGGATGGAATACACTGTAATTACTTATTATACTTATCATACTTTCATCTTATAAATAATAAAATTTGAACAGAAATATTTGATATATTCCATCTCGTCGTGTTATTTTCACTTTTGCTTCATCAAAACTTTGAAATGAGAATAAAAATTGATTAAATGTACGATAATGTTTTCATTTTCAAACTTTGTCATTGCTTCATTTTCTCTTCTTTTGCAACGAGAGAAAATATTAATTAGGTTTATGGTAATATCAGAGAATTTGGCAATTTTATTAGATTAACTTTAAGGTTATTTCAAGGAATTTGACGATTCTATGGATTGACTTTAAGGTAATATTAACGTATTTGACAGTTCTATTGATTAACTTTAAGGTTATTTCAAGGAATTTGAGTCTATGGATTGACTTTAAGGTAATATTAGCGTATTTGACAATTCTATTGATTAACTTTAAGGTAATATCAAGAAATTTGACAATTCTATTGATTAAGTTAAAAGTAATATCAGGAAATTTGGCGATTCTACCTGGATATTCTGCAGTTATAATTATGATTATCAGTAGTTTTCAACTTGTGTCACATAATTAACGATGGTGGGCAAATATGAAATGGCCTCCCAAAAAAAAAAAGATTATTCCAAATTAATTTCTCCCCTATATCATAGGTTTACCCGGGATACTCTGCAATTATTATTATCTGATGATAATGATTACATAATATATATGATAAATTATTACATACATCTGCTATTAATTCTATTACAAAATTAATTCTCTCTTCTCTTCTTGTCATTTCATCACATATAGTTATCAAACAATTCAATAAAGAATTAGCGAACATCAGTGATGTCATATGATCAGTAATGACATTAATTTAAAATTTAAAGTCTCATTAATTTGGGTAATAATTTGGGTAAAATGATATAAGCTAAGTAATGAAAGGATTAAAAATCGTAAATAATGAAGAAATATTTGCCGACTAAAACAAAAGATTTTGATGTTGAAGGGCGATGGGATGTGCAGTAAATTGTTAGTTTATCAGAAGAGAAACGGATTTTCCAGAGAGTCTATAAAAGGATAAACAGCGGGAAGGTAAGAATTAAGAATGGGATTAACCGACATCTGGCGCAGACGTCATTGTGTGCGCAAATCGCAACTATGATAATGCCTTCAGTTCAGTATACCGTAACAAGGATATAGTATATCATGGCAATTTCTAATTAGCATATGTCATCAATGGAAAAGAAAGATGAATGATGATAGTTTCATTTTAAAAATATTTTATTTAATCATATAGCTTCCGCAATTGAAACCATACAATTATCACTATTTATCATTTGATTTATCTTATTTAAGAGATAAACTTTATTACTTTTAGCTTCTTCGCAGTTTCCAGTTTAATTTGTCGCATAAACTGTAAATTGTCGCATAAGTTATTTTTTAATATATTTATTAATTTCATTCTTATAAATAGCATTTTAATAACAAAAACTTATTTTAATAATAATAATAATAATAATTTCATAAACATTCATTTCAATTCCAATTATGCAAAAAGTATATTTCAAAAATTTGTCTCTTTAATTAATTTTTAAAATTATTATATGAAGAAATGATTATTATTATTTTCTTTTTTTGAAACTTTATTAGCAAGCAAGGAAAGAGAATGAAAGTATTGCGCAAACATTCATTTCAATTCTAATTTTTTAATTTTGAAAGAAAAAAAGAAATTGAAGAATTCTAGTATTATTTTCATTACTGCTCATCCCATTATTTTCTTTCTTTCTCTTTTCTCTTTTTTTTTGAAAAAGCCATAAACCACCCGCTAAGCAGATAAACCCATATTACCACATGTTGTGCCACATATATATATATATCGATCTACCCGCATATTATGCTTGAAATGAAAAATATAAGAAATTGGTTAAATTACCCGAAAGTTCTTTTCCCTTTTTCTCAGTCTTCCAATCTTATTCAACCATTAAAAAAAAAGAATAAAAAAGATGAAAAATGTGCATATCGATGAAAATCAAAAATTAATTCTGCCCAAAGTCTGAGTTAATAAATAGATCAATGCTGAAGGTATTTTCTCATAATTTCAAAAATGAAACCATGAAAAAATTTCACCTTACAAATAAAATTTTAGCAATAAAACAAAGGAGTGTGAGAAATAATATCAATTTTTTAAGATACAAAGAAGAATAACGAAAAATCAAGAGATATAAAACTTAGGATAAATGGATAATTCTCAGAGACATCAAAATATGGCTTAAAGAATTGTAAATTCGTAATAATCGGATCATCTCACAGTTGAGTCTACGTCCTAATACTTCATAATAAGATATTTACTTATGTATCGCTGAAATATTCAGAATTATACGATTTGTATTTAGCAGCAATGAAATGATCCGCAGATAGATGCTTTGGCGCCTTTGGTGCTGTTTATTTATTTAAGAGTGAAAGTTGGAAACATTTAAGTGTTTGAGCGGTGTGAGTTAAATTATCGGGAACACAAATTTTCCCTAACTTTTTGATAGTATATCAATATGAAAACTGTTCATTTGTTATTCGAATAACACAGATTAAACAAATTATTTATTTAATAAAATATTGGAATACTGATAGAGATAAAACATGCAATAATTTATTTGATTATACAGTAACGCATGAAGATAAGAATGAAAGTAGAATATTTCGAAAAAACGATCAATTGCTTTTGTAATGAAATAACATAAAACAATTGAAGAAGGGAACGTCTGACAAAAAAAACTATTAAATTCATTATCAAGAAAATATCCATGAATGAAAAGCTGAAGATGTAAAAATTCAAGTTAATTTGAATGAAGGATTTTTCGTCTGAAAGAAACTGACAGACTTGTAAATGAAAGGGATGAATAGCAATTGCAGCTAACGGAAAGAATTGTTGCGGTTTATACGAACGGATGAGTGAGTGAATTCAAAATTCATTCATGAAACATTTCCTCTTTTTAATATGTACAGTGAAAATATACAAAGTGGCGTAAGAATTTCACTGCCCTGTACCGTTTGACGCCGATTTCTCACTTGCTTCCGGTTCCTTTGGAGATGCTCGAATAGGAATGTTTCGTGCTGCAGGTAAACCGATCATTGTTTTGGTGGCGCAGATTGTCAGCACTCCTTTATCGGACAAATGCGATTCGATAGTGTCAGTTTGCACTTCTTCTGGCATGACGTATTTTCGAACGAAGTGACGTTCAATACTGCCATGTCCTGATTGATCGTTACGTTCCTTGTGATGACCCTCAATACTTAGTTCACGATCTCGAACCGATACCGAAAGTTCCTTCGGATGGAAATGAGAAACATCAACTTGAATTGCAAACTTATCCTTTTCATTTATTACCTGAAATTTACAATTCAAACATTTAAAATATTGAATGAATGAAAACAAAAAAGGACGAATGATGAGATTTTGTACAGCCATGAAGACATTTTCATAACATTTTTAGGCTAATACCAATAATTAAAATCAATTCAATTAAAATCAATGTATGATAATTTCAAATCTAAAAATAGCAAATGCTTATTTACCTCTCCGAGCGCATTTCCGATATTGCATTCGTTCAGTACTGGTTGGTTTAGCCAATATGGCGCAACACTTTGCAGTGGTCGATAACGGTCATCGAATGTATTATCAAGAAGATTCACTATGAAACGTTCCATCGGTGAAGTATAGAAGTAATCTCGAGGATTATAACGGAAAACTGACATCGTAACACTTACTGAATTATCGACAGATTCTTCTAAACGGAAAAATATTTGAAGAAATTACAACCAAAATTTAAAAAGTTTCCGAAGAAATCGAAACTGCGTAACTATTCTGACAGTATTGTTTAGGTTTAGACCTTGTTGGAAGTCTTATCTAATAAAAAGAAAGAGAAATCAGAATGCTATCATCCCAAGGCTTACTACCAAAGAAACATATAACCTTAGGCCCATTTCAAATGATTACTCAAAATTCAAAAGATTCCTTTTTTACTGAAAAGAAATTTGATTAGAAAAATTGAAAATAATTAACGGAGAAGGAAACGAGAGGGAACTACTGTCAGATGGACTATTCACCGGTTATTGAATTGGGCAACAACGGTTAGATAGAAAGGGATGTGCCGGATAACTCCCTGACTGGATCCGGTCGATAACAAAATAGCATTGGTCAGTGCATCCATCGCAGTCTCTCTTATATAGTCTTTCAATCGGAATTTTCCAGCAATTTCTAGCACTGATGCAAAATGGCGCTCTGTTCCGTATTGATTGAATCTGTTGTGTTCACCCGTTGCTGCTGAAGGCCAAAGATTATTCTGGAACTCTCGAGAACACTTTGTTTTTTCATTCCGTCTTGCTTGCACTTATCAGCGTGGGAATTTCAAACTTTTAATGCAAAAATAAGAAAATATGGGAAAAATCACATTGGCTAAGGTCATGCGATGATGATTAAGGTCAAAAAGATTTTGTCGTATTGAAAGGGAAGATTTGCTTATCTTTGATAATGCAGTATAGATCATAGATCATTCCGGAACTTTCTTGAATGCCTTGTCTTTTCACTCTTTTTGCACTTATCGACAAAAAACAAAAGGGAAAGAAGAAACGAAATGAAAAAAAAAAACAAAAAAAAAAGCAAAACAAAACGAAAACTTTTTGTGATTATACTGAAATTAGTATAAACACTTTAAAGTTTTAATGTAAATCTTTTGTGCTTATGCTGCAGTTATGGATGGAAACTTTCAAGTTGTAATGCAAAGACAAAAAGAAACTAAAAATTAAGAAAAAATGAAATCTTAGAAAAGTTGAAAACATTTGTCCATTCTATAATGTATTATGTTGCCGAACAGAAATTATAAAGTCTTAAATTCTTAGTTAATGAAAAAATCACATCGATATTGTGAAGACTAATAACTTAAAACATATTTCGGAAATAAAAATAAATTATATTCCGAAAATAATGAAGAGAGAAAAAGTTTGTTATTTTTACACTTTAATATCTCATCTCGAACATCAATTTCAATTTTGTGGCAAATTTAAAGTTAATTTGTTGGAAAATGCAATCATATCTGACAAAGATTAAATGCTAACTTTTATAATAATGATGAATTTAAAACTTATGGAAAATTATGACCAATATGATTTAGTATTATAACTGGCCTATTTTATACATGAGTCTAATTTATAAATGAAAAGTTTTCCATTTTTGTACTTAGAAATTTGCACTTTAAAACTTTTCTCCATAAATTGCAAAACTGGCCATTTCAAATCAAAAATGATATAATTGCTATCTTTTGCATCTCAGTTCAAGTGGTTAATTAGATATTAATATTCATTTCCAGAAGTAAGCAAATGTTTTCTCCATTACAGCAAAATCTTTTCATTTTTACATTAAAACTTTAAAGTGTTTATACTAATTTCAGTATAATCACAAAAAGTTTTCGTTTTGTTTTGCTTTTTTTTTTGTTTTTTTTTTTTCATTTCGTTTCTTCTTTCCCTTTTGTTTTTTTGTCGATAAGTGCAAAAAGAGTGAAAAGACAAGGCATTCAAGAAAGTTCCGGAATGATCTATGATCTATACTGCATTATCAAAGATAAGCAAATCTTTCTTTTCAATACGACAAAATCTTTTTGACCTTAATCATCATCGCATGACCTTAGCCAATGTGATTTTTCCCATATTTTCTTATTTTTGCATTAAAAGTTTGAAATTCCCACGCTGATAAGTGCAAGCAAGACGGAATGAAAAAACAAAGTGTTCTCGAGAGTTCCAGAATAATCTTTGGCCTTCAGCAGCAACGGGTGAACACAACAGATTCAATCAATACGGAACAGAGCGCCATTTTGCATCAGTGCTAGAAATTGCTGGAAAATTCCGATTGAAAGACTATATAAGAGAGACTGCGATGGATGCACTGACCAATGCTATTTTGTTATCGACCGGATCCAGTCAGGGAGTTATCCGGCACATCCCTTTCTATCTAACCGTTGTTGCCCAATTCAATAACCGGTGAATAGTCCATCTGACAGTAGTTCCCTCTCGTTTCCTTCTCCGTTAATTATTTTCAATTTTTCTAATCAAATTTCTTTTCAGTAAAAAAGGAATCTTTTGAATTTTGAGTAATCATTTGAAATGGGCCTAAGGTTATATGTTTCTTTGGTAGTAAGCCTTGGGATGATAGCATTCTGATTTCTCTTTCTTTTTATTAGATAAGACTTCCAACAAGGTCTAAACCTAAACAATACTGTCAGAATAGTTACGCAGTTTCGATTTCTTCGGAAACTTTTTAAATTTTGGTTGTAATTTCTTCAAATATTTTTCCGTTTAGAAGAATCTGTCGATAATTCAGTAAGTGTTACGATGTCAGTTTTCCGTTATAATCCTCGAGATTACTTCTATACTTCACCGATGGAACGTTTCATAGTGAATCTTCTTGATAATACATTCGATGACCGTTATCGACCACTGCAAAGTGTTGCGCCATATTGGCTAAACCAACCAGTACTGAACGAATGCAATATCGGAAATGCGCTCGGAGAGGTAAATAAGCATTTGCTATTTTTAGATTTGAAATTATCATACATTGATTTTAATTGAATTGATTTTAATTATTGGTATTAGCCTAAAAATGTTATGAAAATGTCTTCATGGCTGTACAAAATCTCATCATTCGTCCTTTTTTGTTTTCATTCATTCAATATTTTAAATGTTTGAATTGTAAATTTCAGGTAATAAATGAAAAGGATAAGTTTGCAATTCAAGTTGATGTTTCTCATTTCCATCCGAAGGAACTTTCGGTATCGGTTCGAGATCGTGAACTAAGTATTGAGGGTCATCACAAGGAACGTAACGATCAATCAGGACATGGCAGTATTGAACGTCACTTCGTTCGAAAATACGTCATGCCAGAAGAAGTGCAAACTGACACTATCGAATCGCATTTGTCCGATAAAGGAGTGCTGACAATCTGCGCCACCAAAACAATGATCGGTTTACCTGCAGCACGAAACATTCCTATTCGAGCATCTCCAAAGGAACCGGAAGCAAGTGAGAAATCGGCGTCAAACGGTACAGGGCAGTGAAATTCTTACGCCACTTTGTATATTTTCACTGTACATATTAAAAAGAGGAAATGTTTCATGAATGAATTTTGAATTCACTCACTCATCCGTTCGTATAAACCGCAACAATTCTTTCCGTTAGCTGCAATTGCTATTCATCCCTTTCATTTACAAGTCTGTCAGTTTCTTTCAGACGAAAAATCCTTCATTCAAATTAACTTGAATTTTTACATCTTCAGCTTTTCATTCATGGATATTTTCTTGATAATGAATTTAATAGTTTTTTTTGTCAGACGTTCCCTTCTTCAATTGTTTTATGTTATTTCATTACAAAAGCAATTGATCGTTTTTTCGAAATATTCTACTTTCATTCTTATCTTCATGCGTTACTGTATAATCAAATAAATTATTGCATGTTTTATCTCTATCAGTATTCCAATATTTTATTAAATAAATAATTTGTTTAATCTGTGTTATTCGAATAACAAATGAACAGTTTTCATATTGATATACTACCAAAAAGTTAGGGAAAATTTGTGTTCCCGATAATTTAACTTATATCGCTCAAACCCACAACTTTTGTATTTGATCAGCCAGAATGATGCGTTCTGTTATGTTTTCAGACTTTTACAAGATCTCTGGTAAAATGATTAATCCTTTAAATATATTTTTATGACGAACGGATATTTAGAAACTTAAATGTTTCCAATTTTTACTCTTAAGCTAAAACCGGAAAAAAAACTAGACCCACTGTCGGATGCATTTTAGCAATTTATTAAAATTGGTATGTTGCAAAGCAACCTTTTAAATAATATTTAGGATTCTGTTCAAACGAAAATAAAGATTGCTTCGATGAAAAGGATCAAAAGATCGAAGATAAAGGAAAAGAGTTGTTTACTAAGCATCGTGGATGAGAAGGGCTTTTCATGTTGCATGCAATAGGTTAAATAGAGACTTGGAGGAATTTAGAATAAAGTAATGGGTCAATCTAACAGAAAATATTCAATTATACTAGTAGCATTCCGATGATTGCAGAAGATTATGTAAAGCTCTGAAAGCAATTAATGGACCACAAACAAGGTTCAGAGTAGATCTCACCTGAGTAAGTTAGCTTTGAATTGTTTACTTAGTGTAAGTGTGCAAGTGCTTTCAATTTTATCAGTGATATGAAATTTTTATTAGTAAATCAATCATCTGAACACTTTCTATCTTCCACCATTGCTACGTCACATCATGCAGTAATCGATGAAAACTGAAAAGACTTCGGACTTAATGAAATTCCATCCGAAATGTAGAAGAATGAAGGCTAAGCAGTGTGAACTACTATAAATCTCTGTGATTCACTTATCATTACTGTATAAGAAAAAAGTAGAAAAGTTATATCACTCAAACTGAGATATTACTTTGTTATTTATTGCTTTCTTGCACGAATACTTTTGAATAGATTAATGGCAAAAGAGCTATTTGAAAGATTTTTGATCTATGAAAAGCATTACAGACTCTCAAAGAGCTAAAAGAAAAGTTTAAGGAAGAGAATAAAGCATTCGTTGTTCTCAACTAAATCATTTGATGCGGTGAGCGGAATAGGATTGCGGTAGAAACATTCATTGCTTCCAACTAAATCATTTGATACGGTGAGCGGCTAAATCATTTGTTGCGGTGAGCGGAATAGGATTGCGGTAGATCTTGAAACGATGCGCTTTTTTCAGTGTTCCTCAAAATGATCATTCTGTTATATGAAGAAAGCTCAAGTTCAAGTTAGATAAAGCGGAATCCTTCAGTGACGTGGTATAACGGTTGCGTCTTTCTATTTATAAAATGCTTCAAAAGCCAATTGAAGTAAATAACATTTACATTGATCGGAATCTAATCAATTTCAGATGACTTAAAGCCTACACTAAACTCGAAGCTTAATTTTTTCTAGCAATTTTTGGACTGATTGATCGGCACAGTAAGTATATCGAAGCTTAAGTTAGTCCAGCAATTCAATTATCTGTAAAACATCATTTTCCCGAACACTATGACTCACAAAGAAGTAGGTATAAAATTATTAAAAGCATACAGAACATTTGGAAGTAATAAGTAATTGAATAAAATTATTGTTACTGTTTACTCTTTTATGATCAACTGGATCATGGGTTATCAGCTGTTATCACATTTCTATCAGTGTTACTTCCCTAAAGACTCATAGCTGGACAGGACATGTGACCAGAATGGATGATTATAGCTTTTTGCTAAGATCGCGCTTTATGGTGAACTGGGCCATCTGTTGAAGAGCCTCAAAGGAGCTAGGATTTCCTAAATTAATCCCTCAGCTATGACAAGCATCAGTGATTCATTCTGGCTTCAAATTAGAAGACATGCGATATGTCATCCATAATGTTGCTAGCATCTTCGAGAATTAGTCTCGAGAAAATGTCTAGCTTTCCACTGTGTCTGTTTACAATCAGACCTCTCTTCAGATTAGTCTTTTCAGCTGCTAAAGCATTTGCATCAAGCGTGTAGCTCCTCTTTATAGATTTTCAATCGCAAATTTTCAACCTAACCTATCATTATCTTTTTTATTCCTTCAACTCATTTCATTTTATATTTATTTACCTATCCAAAAAAAAAAAAAAAAAAAAAAAAAAAAAAATACAAATCATTCAGTTAAAATGGAAAAAAAATTTTTATGCAAAATTTAACTCTCTATAAATTTATGCAAGATTTAACATTTTCTTTAGTAAATTGTCATGAAATTTCATATGTTTCTTGTTCCACTTCATTCTACTACGATTTAAAAATATCAATAAAATTTCTGCCATGTGATTGAAATTAGCCAATTTGAATATTCTGCTCAAAAAAAAAGTTAATCGATTATTCTGCTCAAAAAAAAAAAATGAGTTAATCGATTTAATTACAAATAATTTGCTTAATTTGTATTTAATGATATTAACTATTGAATATAACACAATTTGAATGCATATTTCATTGATATGATTTGATGAAAAGATGGAAATAAGTACAATTTGATTGATTATCGATGTGAATATATTGATGGAAATTAGTATTTCTAGTTTTTATAATGCTAAACGATTAATATCAGAGACATACTTATTGAAAGTAGATATTATCAATGTGATATGATATGATATGATATGATATAGTTTGATGTTTTTCCTTCATTTTTTATCAATTTTTTTTATGATAACGTAGATCTTGAAATAATTTAGACACTAATTTGGCAGCGTTAATTCTTCTTGTAAAAATAAAAATTAATGAAAAAGTAAGTTGGAATTAAAATGAATGAAACTTAACTCTTTCAGTTTTTCATACAGAAATATTAAAGATCTTATCTTTCAGCCATAGCCAAGTTAAGCCAAGTTATACAGCCAAGTTAAGGAATAAATGTTGCAATAATTCTATTACAATGCTTTCTTCTTTCTTTCTAGTATTTCTTAAAAGTATAAAATAAAAAATAAATTGGAATTAAACTGAAATATTTGCACATATATATATATTCAAAGTTCAATTTTTCCAACAATTTTTTTTTTTTTTCACTCTTCCATTCAATCACATTAATTATTACAAAACAAAATTTGATAATTGTTTTTGGCTTTGTTTTCAAATAAAAATTGACAATAATTTCTTCATTATTTGTTTTGCATAAAATTAAATTAAAGAATAATGATTTTATCAAAAAAAAAAAAAAAAACTTATAAAGGCCTGAAAACATAACAGGATATATTATTTTGTTGAACTAAACAAAAATCATTTGTTCGAGCAGTATAAGTTAAATCACCAGTACTACAAATAATACTATATCGATTAGAAGGATATTTTTCTGTGACAGCTTTTTGAATCATTTCTTTAGTCAACCAAATATCATCTACCAAATTCTGCAACATAACATTTTTTGATTTTTAAAATAAATATAATAATAAGCATAAAAAAGTAATTAGCATTAAAAAAAAAAAAAAAACAAAACAAAAAAAAAAAAAGAAATTTATTTTTACTCAGTATTCCTATCATTAATTTCTTTCACAAAAGAAAATCAGAAAAGGAAGCAAACTGAGAATTGAAAATTAAGTCTGAAAATTTGTTATGAATTTCAGATTAAATATATATCATTAAAAAATAAAAAAATTTTTTTTTAATTTTTCTTTAAAATGACAATGTTTCGGAACAAATCCATTCAGTATTTGTTAACTTTTGCTATACCTGTTTGAATTATCAAATATAATTGATCACTTTTTAGACAACAAAAATTTTCTATTCTCTGATATGTTTTCCGGTTTTACATGTTTTTTCCTCTTTTGACTTCCATTTATCAACCGTGAATTGGAAAAAAAAAAAAAGTAATAAAATGCTAATTATTATCAATAAGATAAAATTCTTCCAGTTAAGATAAAATGCTTTACCGGTTCCGATTGAAATATTTATTGGCATAAATTATCCTTTTTGTTTTGTTGGTAGGAATAATGAAAATTAAACTGGATTAATTAATCTATAAATATTGTTGTCCAAAAACTATGTTATAATATTATATTCAAAATGAAATACCTGTTTAATGGTACTTTGTAATTCAGCATTATTGCAAACAGGATCATCATTTAAGATTTGCATGCCTCTTGCAAGTGCGCGAGCATTTAATGAACGCCGTCTTCGAGAGCGAAAACTGCATGGTCTTTGGCAAGTATTACAACAAGAATTCAATAGCATAGGCTAAAAAAAAATTTTATAAATTTGAGCTGTTTTTTTAGTAATATGGTTTGTTTATCAAAAATATTAGCACTAGCACATTTTTAGTAATGCTGAAGATTGAATTAAATTTTGTGCAAAGAATAATTTTGAAATAAAATATATATATATTGGAATTTACCATACAAGGACAAGGTAAACAAGGGCAGGGTAAAGAAGGAAGTGGCGGAAGTGGAGGCAGTGGTGGTGGGCATGGTAGACAAAGTTGAGGACATGAACAAGGTGGTTGAGGTGGTGGTGGCGGTGGTGGTGGTGGTGGCGGTGGCGGTGGTGGTGGTGGTGGAGCACCACATGGTGCCGGAGGACCTTGTCCACAGCCATGTCCGGATACAAATGATTCTATCGTGGTGATATAAAAGATTAGCGAAATTGTCGCAGATGATAATTGTCCCATTATTGAGATCTAAATAACAATAGTTTAGCTAATGGGTAAAATTTGAATTCAACGCAACTTCGAGCACATTAAAAATATCGTTGCATTATCATTCATATATTCCCATTTTTATCACATTTATCTTTATCTTTTATTAAAAATTTAGAGTTTTAGATATTGGAATTTGACTACTGATAAGTGATAAGTGATATAAAATAAGGTAAAGTTTTTATAAAAACGTATGTGATAAAAAGAAAAGAAGGAACTAAAGAAATTATTAGAGAAAAGTGAAATACATGGAAAGAAAGGAAATAAATAAGCAAGTTGCACACACACACACACAGGAATACCTAAGACTGTAATATAGGAGTACCTGAGATTGTAATGTAGGAATACTGGGACTGGAACCAAAGAATATCTAAGTCTAGAATACAATGATACCTGAGACTGGAACTCCAGGAATACCTGGGATTGGAACTATAGTAATATCTGAGAGTGCACTACCACCAATTACTTTAGTGGATGATGCGACAATTGAGCAACTGCAACTTCCTTTTAAATGGTCCTCAGAACTACTCTTCCTTTGATTTTTGATCAAAGCAACGATGGCAGGCGCAAAAAAAAAAAAAAAAGAAAAAAACGACGATATTGTTGTCAACTTGTTTATATAAATACATAAATATAAGTGTGTATATGTGTGTTTATCAGATTTATCAGAATATTTTACATCAACTCAGAATAGTTTCTAACACAAAAACAAAAACGCCTTTATGCAGAAAAAGAATTATTTCCTTTTCAAGGTTAAAATAGTCTTCCGCCTCTATTAAAACTATTAAAAATGTGTAGAATGTTGTATTTACTAGAAGAAAATAATACAGAAAAGGAGTGTAATTCATGTTAATTAATGATAATCAAACCATTCTTTATATTTTAAAAAATTGTAAATTGTAAAAATTTCAAAAATTTTGAAATCCTTTTTCAATTTTTTCAAGATTATATAAATTATTAAATGATGAAGCACAATTGAAATGTACCTAAAAATACATAACAAAAAAGAGTAAAAATTATTGGTTCTAATTTAAATCTGACTTCAGTTTGATTTTCTAGAATAGCTTCTTTTTTTTTTTAATTTAGTTTTTTAAAGGTTGCGAGTTATTTCTTAAAAAAAAATTTTAGCTTAACTTTAATCACTAATTTGATTTGCAATTTGATTTTTAATTTAGTTCATTTACAGTTATTTTAATTACATTTAGTTATTTAATCATTTAATTATATTCACAATATAGCAGTACTTGTTGATAATTAAATTAGAATTGGATTTTTTAACATTTGAATTCAATTTCATATTTAGCTCTCAAAATCTAACAAATTTCTCGGAAAAAGACTTCGTAAGCAGAAATTTAGTAAATAAATAATTTCATTTCATCTTATTCATCTTTTATTACATCCTAGAAACATTTTAAGCTTCAACCATTAGCTTAAAATTTTCTCAATGTGAAATTAAAATTTTGTTGTGATCTGATGCCATTTTCGAATTTCAACTTTTACAAAATTTTATTTCCATCACAAATAACACACTTTCCGCTTCACATCGCATAACCAAATTGAACAAATTTTTTGGAAGAGAATGAAAACTTTAGAAAAAAATTCGAAAAATTGTAAATTAAATTTTGTTTAAAAAAAATTTTGAGAAAAATTATTGTTGTATTTTATTAAATGAATTTGTTAGCATTGATAAAAGAGCACGAACAATGATAATATTATTTTTCAATAGTACCATACTTTTTTAAAATAGTAATTGAAAAAGTAAAGACATGAAATTGAATATATTTTATCGCCTAAAGGTATTTTGTTTTTCATCTTTTCTTATAAATTAATTGTTTTTTTTTTTCTTTTTTTCGTGCTTTATTATCATTACCATTATCACCATTTCCTTCTTCTTATCAGTACGCTCTCCATGATTCATTTTACTGTTTGTTCAAATTATTGCCATCACTTAATTATCTGATTTTTTTGTTTTCTTATTTTATCATAATCATCATCATTATCATCTTGTTATTGTTATCATTCATTGCTTCATTTTCAAAAATATAAAACTTGTTTTGTTAAAATTCATTTCCTATCGTATAAAAAATATGCATACTACATTACAAAGATAAGCAAGTTTTTTTTTTTTAAATTTTTCTTCAACAAATAAATGAAAAAGATGAAAGGAAGCGATAACCTTGAACTTGAAATCGGTATTACAAAGAAAAAAAAAATTCTCATTTTAACAATATTTTTGCAATAGGTACTTTATCATACTAATTATGTACAATGTAATATAAATATTAATAAAACTTTATCTTTTCACTTCAATATTAATAATAAAAAAATGAGTAAGTAAAAAAGAAATTAAAATTTTGCTTTTTTAATTTTTTTCTTTCTTTTCTTTCTTTCTTTTTTTTTTTCTTTTTTTTTTTTGAATGTATTAATTATGGCTGATAGTTCATAAAAACAAATAAATAACAAAATCATTTATACAAGGGGAAAGAAAGTAAGTTGCTTAAAGTAAACTTTCATACTTAAAGTATAACTTTCACACTCAGAAACGATAGCTGAATTAAACTAGCAGTATTTTTAATATAATATTATCATTGATATCAATTATCATCAATAGGGAAATTTTTTGGAAATGATCAAAATTAAATGTAAAATAAATGATGGTAGCAGAGTGAGCAAAATTTTGTATTAATATCAGTTAGAAATATAATTTGAATAGTTGAAATTGATAAAATGAAAAGTTTTAATCATTACTTCACATTATATACAAATAATTTCACTTAATATATAACAATAAATACATTTCTATGCTTCATTTGTTACATTTTTTTTTTATCACTTCAAAATAATTGTAAATTAAATATCATTTATCATTTTATTTATCATCGTTTCATTTATATTTGCTTACTATGCACAAATAAAATAAATACATTAAATAAGCTCAAAAATGGCAAATTACTTTTCATGCTTAAATTTTAAAATTTATTTGAAAAATTCATGAAATTCTAAAAGCATAGCAGGTGGTACCTCGATTAGATACTTCACAATATTCAATTGCATGTGTCACATAGCTAAAGTCACCTTTGGAACAGATGACATTAAATTGTGTGGCAAAGTTCTGTTCTGCTGCTCGTTGTATTGCTCGTTTTGATCGTGTCGGATCTCTTTTCATATTCTGAAATTTATTAGTCAATATTTTTTCTTCTTTTTTAATTGTTCAAAAATAATAATTTTGATCAAATAATAATGTATGCATTTGTGATTATTATCATTTTATCAATATTTTATCAATATTAACAAAAAAAAAAAAGACTGTAAAGATTTAAAATAATAGTAATAATAACAATAATAATAATAAGTAAGTAATTGTTTCATCTTTTAATAGTAATAATAATAAGCAAATAATTGTTTCATCTTTTAACTTCTTAAATCTAAATAAATTCAACTTCATTGATCTCTTTTTCTTCTCCTGTCACATCAAGATTTTTCTAGATTTTAAAATATGCTCAATCATATCTACCAATTCTATAAGTTGAAATGAAATTCGATCAGATTGAACAAATCATATAAATATGTTTGTGTAGATTTTACAATTTTCTTTTTTAGATTTTATAAAATGCAATAAAAATTTACTCCTAAATTGGTGTGTTTTTTTTTTTTCTTTCAAAAACAATATTTTGAATTAAGTAATAATACTTTGATAATTATTATCAATTTATCAATGTATTCGTCTTCTATAAGCCAGGTGTTAATTTTTCAGTTTATTATTATTTAAAGTTTTAAAGGTTGTAATCGATGATGCTATCAGTGATATTATTGATTAAATCAATTTTAACTTTTTAATTTTTAATAAAAATTGAAATTTGATAGTGATAATTGTTTATGATAATGGATTCAGAATAAGTTAATGTCAACGATAATGTCATCGTGAAATTTGATATAGAATGAAAATAAATATATTTGTGAAAGTAATGTATATGTTCTCAATGTGATCAAACGACTATTGGTGACGTTTAAAAAAAAGAAAAAAAAAAAAGAAGAAAGAAAGAAAAACGGATTTGAACATTTTTAGACAAAGGGAAAGGAAATGAGTAGAAGAGGAAGAAGAAGAATGAATGAAGAAGAATGAATAAAGAATGAAAAATGCTAAATTTCAATTTCAAATGGTTTCTAAATTAGTAAATTTTTTCTGAGATTAAAGAGCTATCATTGCATTTTTGACGGAAAATTTTTGTTGAAAAAATTGAAATTAATGAAAACCAACCGCCATCATTAATTTTGCCAACTCTTTGCTTTTACATTTCGTATCGTGATCATGTCTATTTTGAAATGTATTTGCTGCTAATAATATTGCATTACCATTTCGTGGCATACAATTTGCGCCATTACACCGAGTGCAACAGTCATGCGATGGGAAATTATTCACAATTTGTTCTTGGATATTTGACTTATGAAAATAATTGCAAATAAGTAAATTAATTTATTAGTAAATAAAGAATCCACTCAACAATTAAATATTTTAGACAAATTAATTTATTAGCAAATAATTATAAATAAAAATTAGTTTAAAAAAAAAAAAAAAGTAAATAAAGAAACCACTCAACAATTAAATATTTTTCGATACAATTACATTTCTTTTTTTCTCCTTTTTTTTTTTTTTTTTTTTTTTGTTAATTTTGGAGTTTCATTTTTTTTTTCACTTTATATAATAAAAAAGATTTAAATTGATCAGATAATTAAGCAATTAAATAAACTTTACTATTATAACTTTCATCGCCTTTTTTTTTTTTTTTTTTGGTTTACCTTTTCAAAAGAGGAAGAAAAGTTGAAATGAAATGAACTTTTCTCACCTGTGCTAAAGACTTTTTTACTGATGGTGGTTTAATTGTTGACAAATGAAGATCTCGAATTTTGCTAAATTTGACATTACCGCCAGCAGTTAACAAGTCCAATTGAGGTGATGGAATGATCGGTACACCGGCGGGAAGTAGCGGCAATGTAATGTTTTTCTTGAATATTCCAGTATCGCTATTTCGACTGAATCGTTGAGGATTTGAGATAGTTTTACAGGATGACGATGTAGGGCATGACGACGGAACAGATGGGTAATTTGATTTGAACTCAGACGATGCTTTACCGGAAATTGATGTGACACTTGTCGGAGGAGACTCATCTTCATCCTTTGAAGTGTCCGATTCTGTTGCATCTCTCGAATTGCAATCTGTTGAGGGACCACCACATCCGGTAGCTGTTACGGTTGCATCACCGGTAGAATCATCATTATCATTTGTACAAGGATGTGATGATATCTGATTGCAACAGCAATTACAACAATTACAACAATTATTACTGATAACATTCTTATCAGCTTCACAGTCTGAGCAAAATTTTGTTATGTGATAATGCTGATTATGACAGTTAACTGGAGCAAATCGTAATGATTTCAAAGATTGATGCTTATCACAGCCAGCACCGATACATCGTCCCTGTATCACACTTTGAAATAGGCCATAACTGATAATTATGATTAGAAGCTGATGGAACATCTGTAACTCCCTCTTCATATCATAATGGATGATTAATGATTAATATCAATTTTACTGATAAGCTTTAAAAAATTAATGAATGTTGCATCATCAAACATTCCAAATGACACTGATATTATTTGAATTGAATGTTTAAATAAATTTAAAACTTAAAAAATCAGAAGAAAGATATTAAAATGTTACAAATGAATGCAAAAATGGATTTAGTTATAATTGGCAATTGAAAAATGCCACAATAGTTGATGATAATACTTTTGAAAGATTGTTAATTTGTTAATTACAATTACATTATGAGGCGAGGAGGAATGAACCAGTTCTTTGAACATAAACAACTTTTTAATTAGCAACGTTTCTTTTATTTTATTTTATGATTATAATAAATATTTGTATATGCATTAATACATTTTCAACAACAATTAAAATGATGCATTAATTCATTAATTATTAGCTCAAATTGCTTTATTGCATTAAGAGGGATTTGAATAGAAATTTCAATCATAGAAAAAAGATTAATTTTTGTTTAAATTTATAAACTAAAATTTTATGCGAATATTTCTAGTTGGATTGCATTCCAATTTTTATTGAATATTAAAAAAAGAAAAATTTATAACAATTTGCAAAAGGAAATGTTTATTTTGTTACATTATAATTTAAAAATTTTAAAGCAATAAATTAATTTAATAAGCGTATATTATCGATTATGCGCTGGTGATCTGAAAAATTTAAAAGTTTATAAAAGTATTTGATAGCTATGATTAATACTGTATAAATTTCATTACTATTTTTTCTCCTATTTGTAAAATCGAAATGAAAAATTTGACTTTCTAAATGTTTCAAATTGTATATTTACTTTAGAATTTGTCAGTTTCATTAATTTGTTAATGATTATTAAAATATGTTTTTAAAGGCTTTTAAATATATGTTTTCAAAGTTTTTAATATAAATGTTGGAATGTGATAAATTAAAGAAATGACAAAAAAAAAAAAGGAAAGTATTACTAATTATGGATCAAATTTTGTATTGTATATATTTTTTTTACATTCTATGCTAAAATGATTGTATAATTATTTAAATATGTCAGACTTTATGATAAAATGCAATCTGATAAGATCTAATCTGATAAGATGGAATATGATAAGATGGAATATGATAAGATGGAATATGATAAGATGTAACCTGGTTTGTGGTAGAAATGGTTTCCACATGGAAGCATTAACTATTTGCATACAAACAGGTATTTTATCAGGTGTGTCAACCCAACTCACTCCATGATCTTCCATTTGCATTCTATCCAACCGATCCTCATCCGTATCCAAATCATCCTGATAATATCACAATTATTCAAATATCAATTAATTAATTAATTCAAATTAACACAATTCATTTAAATTCAAATAGCACTAAATTAATTTATGCTTTTATTTACATAAATTCAAACGATTAATTAAATAATTTTTCCTAAATTCAATATTGTTTACAGTTATAATTATTTACAATTTATTGTAAATTCTTGATAAAATTACAATTTATTGTTTAAATTTCAAAAAAAAAAAAAAACAGAATGCGTTTAATTAAAAAAAAAAAAAAAAATCATCACAATGATAAGATGGAATTAAGAGAGGGAGAGAGTAGTTAAAAGAGAATGATAAAATGTAATGAATATTTAATTTTGATAATTACACTTTTAATTACAGCTGATAATATGCATTGTGCAATTTTGGCAAGACGTTGACCTAATTCGAAATCACTAATCGTTTAATGGGTATTTATCAGATATAAAATTAATAATAAAATGGGCAGTTACACCTCATCTGGAATAATCATTTCAGTGACATATAACATTGGCAAATCATAGTCTAAGTCATCATGGCCAACAATCAAAAATGGAAATAATTCATAAACTTTTTCTGTTTTAAAATAATGAAACTGAAAATATTTTTTACACAATTTTTTTATGGAATGAAAGTAAGCAAAAAAAAAAAAATTTTGTTTGATATTTTAATCACAAATAAATCCATTAATTCCATAATATTCAACTAAGTTTCCTTTAAAAAAAAAAAAAAAAAAAATTTGTTAACTTAATAAATGTTTGTTAGATTTTAAATTCATTAACACTTTTTTAACACTTTTTTACTTTATAGCATTTCAAACTTTCGTATAATTAACACTTTTTTTTCGTATAATTAATTAACTTTCGTATAATTAACACTCATTAACACTTTTTTAACACTTTTTTACTTTATAGCATTTCAAACTTTCGTATAAAATTTAACAGTAAAATTTAAAAGTTCAAAATTTAACTTTAATAAAAATATTATTACATTTTGTAACAGTTTTTGGCGTAAATTAATTAATAACTTTTTCACAATACTTTTTATATTTAAACTCCATTGTAAAAAAAGAGATTGTTTTTTGATTTTATTACTGATAGGATGTGTTATCAATAAATTCTTATTTGAGCTTTGTGATTTATCTGTGAACGTTTCATTTCTCGAATTTAATCGCAGTTCGCTTCCGCTACTTGCCGGAAATATACTTTGATTTGATTTAGTTTCAACATTTTGAATTGTTAGAGTTCCGGTTGTTTCATCAGTGATTTTCCGTATCATTTTGTTTGCATCCGGAAAGCTTCTATTATTATCAGTCTTCATCTGGCTTATTGTTTTATGATCCAGTGATATTGTTTTATCAGTCTTATCCAGTTTTTTCGAGATTACACGCTGTTCTGACTTTGCGATTCCGCATTTTTTCCAGTTTACATCTTTTTTTTCCAGTTTACTTCTCTCTCTTGGTGTTTTATTGGCTATTTCCGTATTTGAAAGAATTTTTCCGATCTGATCTTTAGTTTGACTAACTTTTTTCGAGATTGATGATGGTTGTTCATTTTTGATGATTTCAGTTGTCTTCGTTACTAGCAAATTTGTTGTTTTCTGGCTTTCCTTTAAATCTTCAACTGGTGTTATCAGCTCATCAGGTCCTGTCACATCTGTTTTCTGAATCCGGAAAACGGACGACTCCTTCAAATTGTCAGCCATTTCGAAATGTCTAACCGCTCAGAAAAGCTAAAAATGAGCTGAATAGCATAAATATATCTACGTATTCTTTTATTTAAATTATTTTTCATTTATTGTTATTTCAAATATTCTTTTTTGGAATTCAAAATATTACAGGAAAGGTATATTAGCATGAATTAACAGATGTTATCAGTGCACTATCAGTGTGATATCAGTAGATCACCTTCATTGTCAATTTATTATTCAGCAATTTTTATGAATATACTTATTTAAAATAAATTTATCATTCCTTTTCTGATACTTTGTTTAAGATAAGAATAGTATTAATAAAAACTTATCATTCAACAGATCGATTATCAATAAGTAACTTATACTTTACTGATAATTTATACACTATATGTTTTTGAAAAAAAAGGAAACAAATGAACAATGAATGGGTTTACTTTTTTTTTTTTTTTTTTAATTCCCCACTTAAGTTTTTTTATTGCTATAGAAACTTCAAATAATGATTTGGATCAAGTAGAATTTGATGATTCATCTTAAATAGAGTTTTATTCCCTTTGAAAAAAAAAATTTTTTTTTAATGTCTTTTTTAATCTGTATTTTTCAACATTAGTAAGAATAGAAAGGATTAAAGAAGACGATGATATTATATATTTGGAAAAAGAAAAACTCAAATAAAAAATGGAAATGAGTTAATTTCTAGAAGAAAATTAGTTTAATTGAGCTAACTAATTTTGATTATTTGAGAAATGTGAAAAGATTTAAAAAAAAAAATTCCAAATTTTAAAATAAAAGAAAGATCAGAATTTCAGCAAATATTCTAATATTATAATGATTGCAAAGTATGCTTTGATAAATATCATTTAAATACTTAAAAATTTTTGTGCAGGTATTATGGGATGAATTATTAATATATTTTATATATGTATAAGTTTGAGTGAAAATTTACCAAAAAAGTATTTTTAGATGAAATTTTTTTAATTTGCATAAATTTTAGAAATTTTAATATTAAACTACTGAAAAAGATAAAACCAAAAATAATGATAATAATTATTATTGTTTGGTATCATTTTTTGCTTTTGATGGATAAATTTACGGTAGAATTAAGTATAATTTACTATTCTCAATTTTTATTCTGCAAAAATTTATAGCCAAAAGTCATCAAGGTCACTTATTTATTTCATTTTGCGCGATAAATTCGAATATTCAAGCTTGAATTAACAAATAAAACGAAATTTAAGGTTCAATAAATTATACAATAATTTGAAATTTCTGATTAGTGATTAATGCATGATAAATATGAATTTTTACAAATAGTTTTGAAACTTTGGTTATTATTCATATGAAATATAACAAATAAAGCTATATTAACTGCTAATAATGTTAATAATTAACTGTTAATAATGTTAATAATAATAATAATAATAATAATAGATAAATAAATAAACAATAAGAATCATAATAATAATTAATAATAATAGTAATAATAATAATAATAATTCATTCTTTGACATGTCAATTTGTTTTTGCTCTTTAATTTAATTCATATTTTCAACATTTTCTTCATTTCTTCCAAACACAAAAAGTTTGTAGGAAGCAAAATGATATCATTTGAATATTGTCCGTAACGATTGATGGAATCACCGATTGAACTGATCAAATTGATCACAAAACGGATCATTGGTGGCGGATGTATGGAAGAGTGAAGATGAATGAAGAAAATGATTTTGTACAAAATTTTCAGTGAATGATTGCAAAAATGAATTTTAAAAAATTGTTATATAAAGCAAATTTTAAGAAATCATTTAGGCAACACAAATTTTGTGTAATTTCTTCGTTTCTTTTCTTTTTTCTTTAGTGGAATTTCAATTTTATTTTTTATTAAAAAGTTTCTCTTAATTTACATGAAGAATTTTAAAAGAGAATAAGATCAGTTTATATGGTTAAAATTGCTATTTTCAAGAATTAATTTCATTTGAATTTTTAAAAGTACTACTACTTGTCATTCATAATTTAAATAAAACTTCTTTTTGCATAGTTAAAAATGATTGTTATTAATTATAATTTGATTTTTTAGTTACATAAAAATAAGAAAATTAAATAAATATTTAAATTTAAGAAAGAAAAAAGTGAAATAAATAAACGATTAAATGAATAATAATAAAGAAAAAATCATTATAATTAACAATCATTTTCATTGCTCTATTTTTAAATTATCATAAATTTACTAGCTGATAACATTCTTATCATTTCATGTGATAATTTCGGTTAGAAATATAATCGAAATATGTAAACTATTCGTTTCCTTCCGTGCAATTGCATACTTTGTAATAATCTTTGCACATCAATCATTTCTACCTTAAATGTCCTCATTTTGCCCTTTTTTTTTTCCTCCATTTTAATAATTTCAAAATTTAAATATATTTTATTCATTGCGCCGACAACAATTTATTATTAGCAATAATCATTGGTTTGCAAAGAAAAAAATCGATTGATCAAATTTTGTGGAAGAAAAGAAAAAAGAGGAATAATTAATATTAATTGTTGTTAATACAAAAGAAAAATTAAAAATACAATAAGCAAAAAAATTTAATTGAAAAAAAAAAAAAGGGAATTAATTGTTACATTAATGATTGAAATGAAATAAATTTGTGATAGTATTGTAATATTTATAATTCATTTTTTAATTAATAATCTTTTATAATTAGCTAAGAATTGCTTTTAATTCACTCTTAAAATATCATTAATTATTTAAATGAATGAAATTGTAAATTGTTGATTTATTTGAGTAAAAAATTGAAATTATAGTGAATTGTCATTTATTTCATATTTTTTTCAAAAATATTTTTGTCACATAATATTTGATAACAATAAATTTGTCACATTAATTTGCATAAAAACTATTCAATGATAAATATGGTTCATTCATAATATGTATTATCATTTTGTCACATAAATAGACTACAATCACGTACAGAGAGAGGGAGAGAGAGAGAGGAAGAGAGGGAGAGAGAGAGGGAGAGAGATTACATCCATACTACTATTTATCTTTTATCATATCACATTTATTCGATAATTCATTCTGTGTATCTTTGCGCCGAAAGGATTTTATAATATTTCTCGTTTAAATGCTTTAATACATTTCCTTTAATCCATTCCTATTCAATTTCAAAATAATTTTTCAATATTTTTGCTTTTTAAGAAATTGAAAAGAAAAAAAAGAAAAAAATGATGGAAAGAGAAGGAAGAAGAGAGAGAGAGAGAGAGAGAGAGAGAGAGAAGGAAAAGTATGACGTGTGGTTTGGTTTTATTACGATGACAACATTTATTATCCTTAAAGAAAGAAGAAAGTATTCTTTCCATTTTTCTCTTTGTACTTTTTCTCAAACATTTTATCTGTGTGTTGAAATTATCAATTTCTTCTAATCAATTATTTATCAATCATTTTGTTAATTGTGTTATCATTTTTCTTTTTCTTTTCTCGTTCCCTCTCTCTCTCCCTCTCTCTTTTCTTGCTTTGTTTTTTTCTTGAATTATTGAAATACACCTTATTAAATTTGTTTATTTTTATTTAACTATGAATGAAATTTCAATAAAATATGTAGATAAAAATTTGTGAAATAAACAAGAACGATAAGATAATTTATTTTAAAACTGATTATTTTTTCTAGAAAAATTGTCACAAATTTTATTATTGTCAAATATTAGAAAATCTCGAGATTATTATTTGTATATCATTGTTGTTACTAATGGAAAATTTATTATTAATAAATGCTTTTTGAATTTTTTTTTTTTTTTTTTGCAAATTTTTTGAAATAGAGGAAATTTAAAAGATGAAATTGATTGCTATTAAAAAGAGTAAGGAATAGATTTCTTAGAGAGAATATGTAATTAAATTATAAGCAATTTATATTGTCTGTGGTTTTTTCTATTTTCAGATTTACTCTTTAGATACTTTACTAACTTTTCTTTTATCAAAGTAATAATGAACTGATTCATTTTTCTCATTTATCACTGTAATATAAAAATTTTTTTCATTTTGTTTCTTTCAATGATTGAAAGAAAAAAAAAGAAACTTTCTTATCAGTTATTACTGTTTATCATAATGTTTTATGTTTTAATCATTCATTAATCAATCATTTTAAAAAAACATTTATTATTGATTAAAGAAATATTATTTTTCTAACTTTGGTGTTATCAAGAAATAACTGCTGAATTCTCCTTCTTTTCAATCTTTTTTCTGTATTCTCATTGTAAAATCTGTTAAATATAAATTTATCTTTCAATTATAATTTAATTCATTCGTATAAATCTCTTTGAAATCATATAACAATGTAATAATATCTAATGAAATCAGTGGATCATTTGTATTTATGAAAAGAAAAATTCTTTTTTTTTTAATTTAATTAAATTATTTTTGTTGTTAATGTTGCATTCTCTTTCATCATTTTTTTTTTTAATCCAATTCATTCATCATTTTGTCATTCGGAAATTCGAACAATTAATTACATATTAAAAACAAAAAAGAAAAAAAAAAAACAATTCTAATCGTTGATTATTTACTACACTTTGCAGCTGCTATATGAAATAATATGAACAATAATAATAATAATAATAATAATAATAATAATAATAATAATAGTAATAATAATAATAGTAATAATAGTAATAATAATAATTAAAAAAATAATAATGATAGTAATAATAATAATAATAGTAATAATAATAATTAAAAAATAATAATGGTAGTAATAATAATAATAATAGTAATAATAATAATTAAAAAAATAATAATGATAGCAATAATAATAATAATAATAATAATAGTAATAATAATAATAGTAATAATAATAATAATTAAAAAAATAATAATGATAGTAATAATAATAATAGTAATAATAATAATAATTGAAAAAATAATAATGATAGTAATAATAATAATAATAGTAATAATAATGATAATAATGATGTGATATTGTGGAATGATATCGTCGACCTCGAACATCAAGTCAAGTTCAATTGCAAGCGAAGCAACTTATAATTTATATTCTCTTCTCCTTTTTCTTCTCTTCTCCTTCTCATTTCAAGTATATATGCATGGTATTTCATTTCATTTTAAAATTTCTCAGCAATTTATTCATCTCTTTGATCTCTCTTCTTTTCTCAACACTCTAAAATTCAAATTTAATTATATTAAAATAGAAAAAAAAAAGAAAAATTTATTGAAAATGTTATCAATTTGTATGACTGATAATCCATGATAAGCATTGATACAATTACTTATTCTCATTCATTTGTAAATTCCTCCACAATGCACATTTATTTCAGTCTTATTCAATAAATAATCAATAAATGTAATTTAAATTTTCGATGAATTAAGTCAATCCGATTAGTACAACTTGCAAAAGTTTAATATAAATGTCATTTATCTCTTCAAATACTTTTCAAATCATTATTAAATATTAATATTCAATTCTGATCTTTAACATATGTATTTGTATGTGTTGATGAAATGATCGCATTGAGTTCACATTCAATGTGTGTCTTTTTTGATGCTATCAATTGCAGAAAAAAAATTTTTTTACAGTTCAATGCAACAAATTTTCTTCCTCACTTGTCCTATTTAAACGTTCTAAATTTAAAAAAAAAAAGAAAAAAAAAGTCTGTTTATGCCATTTTCACTAATTTTATATCATTTTTTTACAAATATGCTTTCAATATACTTTGATAGTTTTTTTTTTTCTTTTTTAATTATCATTTAATTATTAAATTTTATTCCAATTCTGTTAATTCTTTGACAAAAATATTCTTTATTTTTTTTCCAAATTTTAATAATTCATTGATTACATATTAATTGATAATATTTATATTCCATTTTTTCTTTTCTTCTCTTTTTTTTTTCGAAGAAAAAAGAAAATTTTAATGATTTGCAATAAATTTTGTGTTACAATTATTATTTTATTGCTACTTTTTTTGCAAATCAGAAATACTTTTTGAGATATTTGTTCAAATTTTTGAAAATTTTTCTTGTCATTTTAACTATTTCGTTGTAGTGAAAAAATTTTTCGGATTGAATCTCTCTCTCTTAAAAAAAATTTTTTTGCTATCAAATATTCCTTTCTTTTTTTCATCTTTTTTTTTTTTTTTTTTTAACTTCTATTTGTTTAACAATTGAACTGTACTGCTCTCCTTCATTTAGCTTATAATATTGCTATTTTCACTATTTTGCAGATGTGTTTGCGTTCCGCAGCAGCTGAAGAAGCATTCCGTCATTTGAGTGATTTGGAGCAATCACTGCCACTTTGCGCCACCAGTACTATCATTAACAAAACAACAACAACAACAACACAAACAACAACAATAACAGCAACAATTACTTCAACTCCTTCAATGCAAACAACTACAACTACCTCATCACCACCATCACAATTGACCTCAAGTTCAGATTATTTCAACTAACTCAAACTCATTAATTTATTTTCTCTTCTCGTTGCGATGATATTTTTGCATCTAATATTGATGTTAGTAAATTATCCATCGCATTGTATGTAATAAAAGATTATTTCTTTAAAGAAATGATCCGTTATCATTATCAGAAAGATTAGATGAAATATTTCACAAAGTAAATGATAATTCACTTAAAAATAAATCGATCATTCCATTTTATTTATTTAAAATTATAATTTTTCTATATATATATAAATTTTTTCTATATATTTATATATTAAAATTATAATTTCACATTCCATTTTATTTATTTAAAATTATAATTTAGCCATATCAAAATATCTGTTCCAAATTGATTTAATTTAATTTAATTTTAATTCATTTTCATAACAAATATAAACAAATCACTTTAAGTTTAGGTAAGTTTTCAAATAATTTTATTCCTCAAAAAACTTCAAAAATTTTCACTAATTTCCACATGCATTATTGTAATCCCATAAAGATGAAAATGACATTCAAATGATCACAAAGTTACAAATAATTTTGTGACAAATTTTTCCTATCAGAGTGAGAAGAAAAAAAAAAAAAAATGAATGTTCCATCAATGTTTCCTTTTTTTATTTTATTTTATTTGCTTTAATTATTTGTTTATTTGATTTAGATAAAAAACAATCAACACAAAATCGTTTCATTTCACGTTCGGTGCATAATTTACATTTGTTAACACCAAAAAATCGAATACTAAATAACGGACATACACTTTGTCGCAGCAATGAAAATAACAATCAAACAATATCAAATGGAAATTTATTTAATGGAGCAGCAAAAGAAGAGGAGGAAGAAGAAGGAAATGTTAGTTTTGCACCTTTATCGTAACTTTCCCATACATTGCTAACAGCATTTTGTCATTCAGTGTCACAACTTCGTTTTTTAGTGTCACTTAATATTCCCACATAATGTCAACAATTTCACCTCATTATTGATATATTTATGTATTTCTTTATTATTATTATTATTTTACATTCAATTATAAATTTCATTGAATTATACTATATTAATTGAAAATTATTTAATTAAATATAAAATAAATTATGTTAACTACTAGGATATTCAAATGTTTGAAAAAAAGATAAAAATTAGATACGATTATATTTCTTTATTATTATTATTTTACATTCAATTATAAATTTCATTGAATTATACTATATTAATTGAAAATTATTTAATTAAATATAAAATAAATTATGTTAACTACTAAGATATTCAAATGTTTGAAAAAAAAAAGATAGAAATTAGATAATTTAATTTTAATTTTCATTATTTTAAAAGGATTAATTAAAAATTCATTAATTAATGAGGCATATTGATAATTATTTTTTTTTTTTTTGGTAACAAAAATTATCCTACAAAGTATATTAGATTTGCAGTGTTTAAATTTTGTAATAATAATAACAAATGATGATCAGTCGTTTTTCTTCTTTTTTTTTTTTTTTTTCTTTCGTAAAATTCTGAATATTTTAAACTTGAATAGAATATAGAAATGTGTGATATTATTCAGACACACAATTCTGAAACATCTTATTTCGTTTGTCGAAAAAGAAAAAAAAACGATATGGCATTATTTCTCTTCTCCCTCTTCCTAAAATTTTTGTTTATATATTTCTCTTCTTTTTCTTGTTTACATATTTATTCCTCTCCCCTTTTCTTGTTTACGTATTTATCTGTCTCATATTTCTTGTTTACATATTTTATCCTTCTTTCTTTCAGTTTATACATATATCATAAATTCATTTTATAGTAATTTGCATATTTATTAGGTTGTTTTCTTTATTAATTTGCATACATCGGTGTGTCATTTTTTTTTCTACAATTTGAAACTAATTAATTCTATTTATTTAAATTCAAATTTACTTCTCCATTTTTCTAATCTATTCCTCTCCAAAATACTTGTAATGATGAAGGTAAATCTTTCAAAAGTTTACAGTTTCTTCTTTATACAATAGATTGTAATTATTAGAATGAAAAAAGTCCAAATAATTAATAAAGAAAAGTAGAATGAAATAAATAATAGTTTAAGAGTTAAAATTTTTAAGTCTAATATGACGAATTGATCAAATTTCAAAAAATTATCATTCTTGCATCTAATAATAGCAATCGATCAATAATTTTCATTTTTTTTTTTAATTTTTTCATTTCAATTATGATAAGTTAAGGAAGATTTAATGATAATACTTTAAATGGCTGATAACATATATCACTTTCAAATTATCAACATTATTCATTATTTGTCCACAACAACAGAAAACACTGGAGTCAATTTCTTCACAATTTCAATACTTTCAAATTTTATTAGTTTATCAGCTAAACATTTTAATTGAATACTTCATAAACTCTACAAATTATTATCTCTATGATAACTATCATTATCATATTTTACAATTCTTTTCAACAACAAAAAAAAAAAATGAAATATTTTTCAGTCTTCTTTCCAAACAAATCCAATATTAGGACGTCAAATACGTCAGAATGTCGAGAAATTCACTGTACAAAATCAAGAAACAAATATTAAAATGCCATATATACGAATGAAGAAATGGTTGAGCAGTGCTGATGTGAAGTATAGTAGAGGAGGAAGACGTAATTCACGTGACCATTTAATGAAGAATAGCAAAGTTGGCACGTCAACAACTAATTTATCATATTGTAAATCAATAAAGTACGTACGTGTACTTATGCTTTCCTGTTTTAACTTTATCTTTTTTTTTAATGTCTCTACTATCTTCATCAAATCATTTTCTTTTCCAATCTTCTCTTTTTTTTTTTTTTTCAAATAATTTCAACATTAATTTATTTCATTTTAGTAAACATGGACCGACAAGCAATTCAAATATATCACAACATTCGTTGTTACCTTTTAGGTTACTTTTTGTTTTTCGGGTACCATTAAGACTATTTTTATTTCGAATTAATAAAATGAATGATTAATTGATATCAGTTCGGATAAGAAACATAACAGTTTCGAGAGCAATTTTAGATTGATTTAATGAAACATATCTATAAAACTCAAATTATTCTATTAAATTGTAATGAATTTGCTGTATAGTACAGTATAGGTGTTATGAAAGATTGATTCTACGTTGAATTTTACGTAACGTTTTGCAATTTTTCATTACAATGTTTCAAATGATTTTTTTTACTCATTTATAAAAGATAATACTTTAAAATCAAATCTTTATGTCATTAAAATACTACAAAATGTGAAAATGATTAATTTATTCAGATTAGAACTGCGTGAACCGTCATTTATACGTGAGAAAGGTGTGCTACAGGTATTTGTAAACGGTAAACCGGTGTATCTTCCAGTACCAAATTCAGTAAGCAATCTTGATCTTACACGTGAACTTGATGCTCCTACATGTGAACCGAAACTTAACTGGGTTTACGGGTATTTTTTTTTTTTTTTCGTTTCATTTAACTAACGATTATTAAAATAATGATTATCACTTGTTTACTAAAATTTACACTGAAAAAAAAGTCTTTTGCATCTATCGGATAATCATAATTGTTTAAATTGATTTTTTTTACAGTTATCGTGGTAAAGATTGTCGCGGGAATCTCTATGAATTACCAACCGGTGAGATTGCCTATTTTACGGGTACAATTGTTGTACTACACAATCCTAACGAATCGTTACAACGATACTACACCAAACATACCAGCGATATTAAATGGTATCAATTCATTTCCTTACTTTCACAATTTTGAAAGTATTTCTAATTGTTAAATTTAATTTTATATTATTATTATTTATTTATTATAAAATCAACAGTACATATTGTTTACAATTTGTTTTCATTTTTTTTTTTATTTTTATTTTTACTGTAAATACCTGTACATTTGCTTAAAAGGTTACTAAATTTTATAACTGCCATATACTTAACAGTTTAACAGTTTACTTAAGTAATACTACTTGCTACAGTTAGTTTTAATGCTATCAAAATTTTACATTTTATTACAAATTGCCAAGTATTAAGTAAAACATAGAATTACTAACATATTTGCGTTGTTCTAAACATCATATTTCACTTTTTCGGTTGATTAAACAGAAAATTTTAGATAAGGAATTTAGACAAAGTAATTAATCAATTTGAAATTAAATTTCAGCATGGCTATTCATCCAAATAAACTTCATATTGCAACCGGTCAGACGTCGAGACGTTTTCTGGAAAAAGGTGTAAGTCTTTAAACTGAAGTAATTTCTTATTTAAGTATATCTATGTACTTTCTTGTCTAAAATTTCTTTGAAAATTTGATGGCAAATTTTTAGCCTTTTCATTTCTCGAGATTATTTGATTCAGGAAACAGTTTCGGATATGATTTAATGTTGTGATAATGCAAATATAATATTTTTGTTTTAATTATTTTTACAGCAGATTTCATTTTATAATTTATTCCTAGTGTTGTGTGATGTATCTTTTTCCAAAATTCAAAAATAAATTATTTCTTTTATGGATGTAAAATAAACATAAATTATCGTATTAAGAATTATTAAAATTTAAAATAAACATAAATTATCGTACTAAGAATTATTAAAATTTAAAATAAACATAAATTATCGTACTAAGAATTATTAAAATTTAAAATAAACATAAATTATCGTACTAAGAATTATTAAACATTTAGCAAATTGGAAAATAAATTATTTAATCATATTAAAGGAGCTAATTTTTTTTTTTGAAGTGAAAAGGAAAGTATTTATTAAAATATTAAAAATATTTATTATTCACTAAAGTATTTATTTTATTTCTTTTTTATTTTTCATTTCTTTTTAGGGTTTCAATATTCGTCGTTCACCAATATCATCAATTATGGAATTGAATAATGTTTTGGAAACTGACCGGTATAAGGTTATTTATTTTTAGTTTCCATTTTTTTTTTTATATATATTATAGTTTTAATAATTTCTTCTAAACAATGTTTTTGAGCAATGCCAAATTATTTACCCGTTGCATATCTCAATACTGGGTTATTTACCCATTTCATATTTCAATGAATAAAATATATATATTTATTTTCAAAAAGAATAATGTAATAATATTAAAAAAGAATTAGTATTATACCCATATGTCATTGATTCATCTGATCATTAATCTCTGATTTATTTTGGTAAATGTGTACCGCTTGCAATTTCCAGAGTTTCCGGATTTTCAATTTCTGTTACTAATTTCCGGTTTACATAATCTCAATTTTTATTATATCAATCTCTTACCCTTAGTCTATGTGTTTGTTTTTTTTTTTTTTTCCCCAATTAATATTATGGTAATTTTTTGTGTGTTGAACATTCTCACTTCTATTCATTCTCGTATAATTTAACCCAAATTATTTACCCATTGCATATCTCAATACTGGTTTATTTACCCATTGCATATCTCAATACTGGTTTATTTACCCATTTCATATTTCATTGAATAAATTTAAGAAATTTTCAAGAAAATTTTTTATTTATTTTCAAGAAGAATAATATAATAAAAAATCTTTTATTTATTTTCAAGAAGAATAATATAATAATATTTAAAAAAGAATTTAAAAAATTAATAACAAATCAACAAGTTCAAAAATTTAGGCTCACGTACATATTTGGGATTCAATAACGCTGCAAACATTACGTACAATTGGAACAGGCGATGCAAGCGCAAATTTTGATCGAGGTGTTCAGTGTTGCGCATTTAGTCATGCTGCAGCAAATGGCATGCAACTTGCAGTTATTGATGATTCATATGAACATACACTTAGTGTTTGGGAATGGCAAAAAGGAAAAAAAATTGCAGAAATCAAAGAAAGTTTTTAATTTCTTTTTTTTTTCTCATTAAATTATACATATGTTTTGTGCTTGTGCACTAAATTACATAAAATGATAGCTTATCAAAATTTGCTGATAGAGAAAATGCAATTTGAATTTTTTAGTCATTTCAAATTTCTATAATTATCAAATAAAATAATTTTGATATTGCTTATCAAAATGATTATGCATTAATAAATGATATTAGTCTATTTGGTGAGTAATGCTAGCAGATAGGATTGATTTTCAGTCTTTCAATTCTGTTTGATAGAATTATCATTTAACAAAAGTGATTATTGTTGATAAGTGATATGAAATAATTATTAATTTAAATAACTTTTGCTCTTCATTTTTTTTTTTAAACTACTAATTTAAAATTTTTAAAGATTTAATCGAATATAAAAACAGAGAAAGATAGTAGAGAATTTATTGTGATAAAATAAATTAATTGATTATGTATTTTTTGCAGATTGCTTCTAGATGATTAAATTAAATGACCTTTGCTTCTATATGGCTAAATTAAATGACCTTTACAGAGTGCTAATGATCAAGTGTTTGCATGTGAATTTCATCCATACTCCAAAAATATTTTAATGTCATACGGGAAAGGTCATTGTAATGTTTGGTCGATTGATGGAGGAGCACTCATCAAAAAGCCTATCATATTTGAGGTACTCTGAGCAAAAATTCATATTTATAGAAGAAAATGATTAATCTAAAGATAAAATATTTATTAATAATATTGTAAACAATGCAAATTACTGCTTTAGCAAAAAAAAATTCCAATTTCAAGATATTATCCTCAATAGTTTTAGATGGTCCAAGAAGATAAAGCTTTCCAAATATTTCATAAATTAATTAACTAATTAATTGCATAAATGATGTGAAGCATTTTTATTTTTATGATCAAAAATGATCAAAAATTTTCAAATTCTTGATACTATTTAGTAAACGATTATTCAAGATATTATCCTCAATAGTTTTAGATGGTCCAAGAAGATAAAGCTTTCCATTTATGAGCTTTTGAAAACGTTCATAAACATTTATAAAATATGCAAATAAAAATTTTTTATTTTTTTATTGACAAAATTGTATAACTTTTTACTTTTTAAATTATATATTCTTGGAATTGTCTATCAAAATTTTGTCGATTTTATTAATTTAGGGTCGTAATAAACCAAAATTGGTACTTTGTTCACATTTCACCGAACGAGGACATATCATAACTGGTGATTCTAATGGTACATTAACAATTTGGGATACATATCAGATTAAACCAATTCGACAAGTACCAAAGGTTATTTGTTTAAGTTGGTGAAATTGGTGAATTTAAATCTAAAATATATTTTAGTGTTATGAAAAGGTTTTGCGAGAAGATGATCAGATGGGTCTTAATAAATAGATGTGAAAAATGATAATTAAATTAGCATTTAATTAACCAATCAATTAATCAACAATTGTTGTAAAAAAAAGTTTTCTCTTATTATTTGAAATGATTTCATATTCTAAGCTATTTCAAATATGAAATTGAAGATTTTACTGTATTAAACTATGATCAAATTATTTTACTTACATGTAATTAAGCAATTATTTATGCTAATTAAATTTATACGAATATCTACGAGTACTCTTCAATTTAAGGCTCATAATGGCGGTGTTTGGGCATTATGTTTACTTGGCAACGGGCATTTTATTTCGGCTGGTAAAGATCGAATGTTATTTGAATGGGAAACTGATGGTTTAACAAAGATTCGTGGTCCAATAACAGTAAGTGTTTAATGTAAAAATCATTTTTGGAAGGGAAAATAGGAAATGAAATAGATAATAAATTAATTTAAAATTGATAAATAAGTGTTACAGTTTGAGCACTTTGATATTTTATCTATTTTCTATACAAGTTGTCGTGAAATATAATTAAAATGGAATACATTTTATTTTTTAGCTTTTTGTGTGAATTCTAGCAAAATTTTTCATTATTTCAATCTCTTTTTTTTTTTTTAAATTTTAGTTTCCGGATGAAGGAAGTGGTTGTATACGTACCATAGCATCAACCTCAAGTTCTAAGTTATTCATTGGTACAACAAGGAATACAATTTGGAGTGGCACATTGGATAATGGTTTTCAACAAATTCAACAGGTTTATTTTTAATTTTTGTTTCAAAGAATCAAAAGTTTCTGCTTCCAATAGTATTTTCACTATTATTATTATTATTATTATTATTATTATTATTATTATTATTATTATTATTATTACTTTATAGTATTTGTCGATTGGGTAAATTAAATCATTTCTCCTTTCCTTCTTTTTTTTTTTTTTGAAATCAAAAATTTAAAAATTTTTTTCTGAGCTTTTTTTGATAATTAACTTTTTTAATTGAAATATTAATAGTAATATTAAAAAAGTTTATAGGCACATGCAGATGCTGTAACACATATAACATCGCATCCAACAAAACCATACTTTCTCTCTTCTTCAACTGATAATAAATTACGATTGTATGATACAGAAACAAAAACAATACTTTGGACATTGAATGTTAAGGTTTATTTTTTTTATCACATTTTGCTAATAAACTTGATTAAGCATTCAAATCATTCTGATATTAATTTATTATTATTTCAAAAATGCTCATTTTACTTTTCTCTTTTTTTTTAAAAAAAAAAAAAAAATTTCTGCATGCATAGCGTTGAGAGTTTTATTCAAAACTAATTTGTAAATGAATGCATAGAGGAGTTGTTAACATTGAATTAAATTAAAATTTAATACTTAATACTGTACTTAAACATAACTTTTGTAAAATTATTACAGGATGAAATATGTTGTACTGATTTTCATCCAAAAGGTGATACTTTTGTTATTGGTTTTGCAAATGGTACATGGACTGTATATATTTACACACATCAAACACAAATTTATAGTTTTGAAGAAGAAATAAATAATGCAATTACAACTATACGATTTTCAACAATTGGCAATTTTTTGGCTGTTGCAACTAAAGTAAGTAAATTTGAATTGAAATTTTCTTTCTCAAATATTTTATTTCCCTTTTAGTGAAATTTCACTCAAAATTAATTTGATTATTGTTACAGTTAAAATAAATTCAGATTACAATTCTCTTTTTTCAAAATTCATTTCATTTATATCTTTATTTTATCGTATGTGAAATTTCAAAAGTTTATTTTTCCATTTAAAATTTATTTTTATGTATTCTTTTCTTTTTTTCAAAGTATTACTTAACATTTTGTATATAATCATTTATTCCCGTTAAATACATTTATAGTGTAGTATTATTCTTCATAGAATATCATTTTTTTTAATTCATTTTTAAAATTAGCTTTTTTTTTTTTTTTTTGCAGGGAAAAAAGTTAACAATTTACGCCATATCGGGTGATTTCCGCCACTATGTTAAAGTATCACAAATTACGGTATATTTTATAAGTATCAAACTTTAAATTTTTTTTTTCTTTTTTTTGAACTATTGTCAGTTTTCTTATTAGAATTTGGGAATTCACTCAAATTTGCACAGATTTTAGGAATTAAATGCTTCGATAAAGACGATGGATTGGTCAACGGATGCTACCTTACTTCGAGCTAATGACAATGATCTTCAACATTATATTTGTAACATTTCAATTATACTATTTAATTATCTATTAGTATAGTACAGTTTCACTTTTATGACAGTTAAATTTAAAATTCTCAAATTTATTGCATCAAATTTTATGAATTTAGAATATTTATTTAGAAATTATTATAAATTTTCAAATAGTTTGAATAGGAAAAAATTATCAAAGATAATTTAAAAAACATTATTTCAATTTAAGGCATGAGATATTTTATGGATTATATTATGGACTATTTCCTAGCTTCCAGGGAATTCAAGTACTGGCCAACTGGCTACCATACAAGAAGCCAAGGATGTGGAATGGGCTTCAGCAAGATGTGTAGTTTCATTTGAAAATGCTTGCATTTCATATGCTTTAATGAAATCTATTGCTGCTATTGATTGCAGTCCTGATAAGCGGTATATTGCAGTAGCATTATCAAATGGTATGCTTCGTTTTTATCAGTATCCGACAACAACCATTCTGGTAATTTTTATCATTAAAAACATTTTTAAAAAAAAAAAAAAATGTACAAACAACTATGATATATTGTAAAATTTATCTTTAATTTATTTCTCTATCGTCTATGTGTAATTTTTAAATTATTTTAGATAAAAATTGTAAAGTAGAGATGGTTAAATTTGAATATTTCTGCAAAAGTAATGATTTAGTAAAGTAATAATTAAAATTTTTTGAATTTTTTCAGTTTTACAATTTTCAAGAAAATGTTCCTTTTTTCTTTTCTTTTCTTTTTTGTTTTATTACTTTATTATTTTCATAGAGGAAGAAAAGTTTATTTCAGGCTTCATACAAAGAAGCACACAGTTGCAGTGTCTCTGCACGAAATGTTTCATTTGTTGGAGATTTGCTAATTAGTGATGGTAGCAACGATGGTGCAATTTATCAATGGAAATTATCCTAAAATACCTGAAATATCAGAATGGTTTTTACAATTGTATTTATGATTTAAATGTAAATTTGCAGATTTTATTAAGATAGATCTCTGATTTATATTTTCAGAGGATTTTAATTTACAATTTTAAGGTATTACTTTATCCAATGAATGATCAACAGCATTCTTAATCTAATTGCAGTATTGTGGAAAAAAAAAAAGCTATATTTTAAAATCAGTTTCATAGCAATCGTTCGGAAAAATATGAATAGACTTATTAATCAAATTATATCTTGTTATTTATTATTTTTAGGTTACCGGTGTTTTTTTTTTTCTTGACAATTGTAATAAAGTTTATAAAAGTTTTCGTTTTTTAATTTTTTTTTTTTGAAGTATTATTGTTATATTATGACAACACTTGGACATTTGGGTTTGTAGGAAATTGTAATATTTGATATATTTATTTCTTATTGTTAAATATTATTTGTTTTCTATTAATTTATCAAATGAATTCTTTTTGTTGTTGTTATTTTCTCGAGACAATATAATATACAATGATAATATTCATGCAACTCTTCCTGAATATGAAATGAATTTAACTAGAAAATAATAATAAACAAACTTGCTTACAAAAAAAAGCAGTACTTACAAAAAATAAAATCATTTTTGTGAATAATATAAATCAAATCTTCATTTTGGCAAATTCATTTCGATCACCACTTTATAAAATTGATGCGCAAAAGAAAGGTAAGTTATATTAAGTTTTTTTTTTTTTAAGAGAGTGAAGATTAGCAAGTTTAAAAGTTTTGTAAGTGATACGTGAATGAGTAATACATGTAAGTAAATATTCTTCATTTTCAATTACGTGTTACGTATACGTACGTGTTACGTGTACGTAACTGAAAATGAAGAATACTAATAGAACAAAAATTGAAGAACTTGAAGATCTCAAAATTCTATATGCATTGATCCATGAAAATATTCGCAGTCAGATAGAATCTATGAAGGAAATCATTCATACAATATATAATTTTGCATGCAAAGTAATTAAGTATTCAAAATTTAATTTGGCCTAAATTTTAATTTTAATTATTCCTGAATATATTTTTACTAATGATTTTAAAACAATATGTTAATTAATACACTTTCAACAACCACAAATAAGTTCATTTTCCTCTGTAACATAAAAATTAGTAATGAGATTTTGATGAATTTTTCTGCATTCCATTAGCTAAGAATTATTAGTGTAATTTACATTGAAATATAATATTTATTAGTTGTTTGATCAGAAATATTTGTTAATTTCAAGATATTTCGTTAACATAATAAATTAGAAAGTTTGTTGAATTGTATTTAATGAAAAATTTTTTTTGATGAATTTCAAAAATATCAAAAAATCAAATGCATATTACCAGTGATTCGGTTATAAATAGTTGTCATTTAATTGGCTAAATTTGAAATTTTTGTTGAAAATAAATAAATGAACCAACCATAAACTTTTTTAAAAATGATAAGTAATTTTTTTCTAAAATAAAAGTATGAAAACTAAAAACTAAATGTTATATTTCTATAATCATTCTTGTTAATATGCATGATGCTATGAATATTATGGTAATTAACAGAGAAGTTAGCATGCATAATTATAATGAAGTTTTATCCAGCTAACTTTTTTTTTAAATTCATCTTAACTTTTTTCTTTTATTTCATCTACATTCTCATTAATCTGTTTGCTCTATTTGTCGCCATTACTTTTCCATTTAGAAAAAAAAAAAAAGAATATCCAATTGATAAAATTATCAAATATCTTTTTGCAAATGTAAGTCATTGAAGCATAAAACTTTAGCAGTAATATATAATATATTCAAATTTCATTAAATGTATGTACGTCTATCAGAGAATGAAATAAATTTAAATATTAAACTAAAGAAATAACAACTGTGTCTTCGGCACATTATTACAATTCTGATTAGTAAAAAATTAGGATTTGAAATTGGTAAGAAATGTTGAAGAAGCCTTATACAAGCTTACACGTTTTAATTATTTCTCAAAATTGTGAAGTCTTGAAAAGATAACGACAGAAAAGAAAAAAGAAAAGATAAGTAAATAAAGTATAAAATTGACATAGGCAATATAAAATAAATGATTTCAGTTCTTTTTTTTTTCTTTTGCTTTATATCAAAAAATAATAATATGAATACAATTAATTAAATTTTTTTTTTTTACTCTAACAATAGCAATAAACATTTTCATTTTTTTTTCGTTTTTTTTCGTTTTTTTTTTTTTTTTTTTTTTTTTTACTCAAACAGTAACAAAAAGAAAAAAAAATTAGCAAATTACTTATTTATTTTTATAAATTGACCGGTTGCTATGTGAAATTAAATAAGTTGCTAAGGTGTGCGTTTGTGTGCATTAATAAGTTGCTAAGAAGCAGTAATGATCAGATCATTTATATTATTTCATTTAATCAAGTTAGTAGTTGTATGAACTTTTCTTTATCATTATTTGCTTTCTTCTTATCATCAATTATTCTTATTTTAAATTTATATTTCATTTTTTTTTCCTTTTTCTTTTTTTTTTCTCTTTTTCCTTCTTATTTTAACACACTTTTTGAATAAGCTGAATTCAATTTCCTTATTGAAATTCAATATTATTATTATTATTATTATTATGCAACCTGACAGCTGAAAATTGCATGAGTAAAAGAGTCTTAGAGTAATGCAAAAATTTTCAAACAAAACTATTATTAAAAATTTATCGTTTAGTTTTACCATTTATTTTTACGTTGTTTTCCTTTTTTTCTAAGAAACAATAATTTGGTTATATCGATTAAGTATTGAATTCCATACCATAATAGATGATTGATAAAACGTTTTATCAATTTCCAATAAATTTTTTATATTCAACAATTGAAAATTTTAAATTGAAATAAGATTTTAAAATTGCATTTAATTTTTTTTTTGAACAAATTTTGTATTTTGCAAAAAAAAAAAAAAAAAGAGGAGGAAGTATGTTTCAATTTCAAATTCTCAATTATAATTAATAATTATTGTATAAAATAAAAGTTATATAAATTAAATGCTTCATTCCTTTCAGGAAAATAAGTATAAATCAATGACAGAAGAGGAAATCGAAGAAAAAAACGATAATGCTGAAAAAATAGATTACGTTGAATTCTTACGTACCACAGGACAGCTTAAAACTAAAATATTTGAAATAATTGAAAATAACACTCAAAATTTGAACAATTTATTAGTGTTTGTTAAATTAATTTTAATTAATTAAAATTACATTAATAATTAACAACGAACAAAATTTTTATTAAATAAAGAAATTTGCTAAAAAAAGAAATATGATCATAGTAGTAATAAAATAAAAAAGTTTGACAAAATGGTTTTTTAAAGTTTATTATTTCTTTTTCTCATTTCATTTTTTTTTTTCTCTTCCATTCATTTATAACAATTTTAAATTATTGTTTGATAATAAAAAAAAAAAAAAAAAAACGACAAAGGTTAAGAAAATAAAAAAAAAAAAAAAAATCTGTGAATTTTCTTTTGTTATTCATTTGCCGATTATATTAAAATGAATGAATTAAAGGAAAGTTAGCACTTTTAAAGAAAATAGGATAAGAAATATGACAATTATTAAATATTTGTCACAATATTTAATCAATAAATTTTAATTTATTTCACCTTTTAACTTATATGTGAGAAATTTTATCATTTGTAAAATTTTAGGAAACAAGAACACAGCAGCTGTCTTAGTAATTCAAAATCACTTCCACAAATCAGATTAAAGGTTTCAATATAAAATTTATTTTTTAAAAAATTGAGAAAATGAAAAAATGAGAATGTAGAAATGATAATAATTATATTATTAATTAATAAATAATATAAGTGATTTTCAAAAAATAAATAAATAAATAAATAAAATGATTGTAATATAAATCTATGATAACTTTTTCATCAAAATTATTTATCCTTTATTGTTAATTAAATTTATTAATCTATAAAAATTATTAACATTAACTTTTCTATCTGTTCTAGAGAAACGAAATTGGAAGTAAAAGTATGGACGATGAAATAAACAGTAATACTCCCTGTACATTCTATGAAGCAGTATCCACTTCCAATTACTCAGTTGACAAAAATCAACAATGTGAAGTGTCAAAGCTTGCTGGACCACCAACAGTGTCAACTTTACCAAGCATACTTCGTCCACCGAAACGATGGCAGAAAAAAGCCTATTATTCATTGGATTCTTCACAAAAACAGGTTTTAGCAAATATTTCATTTGCAAAAATCTTTGTCGAAAGAAGAAATGAAATTATTTCGCTTATTTTATTTTTTACATTTTTATCTTTAAATTTCAATTTAATTAGAAAAAAAATTATATTTTATTTCATTTAGTTTAATTGTAATTAAAATTTAACAAAAAGCAATAAGGTAATATGAAATGGTAGAGATGTTAATGATATGATAATTATAAATATACCATCATCGATACAAGAAAAAATTCTTTCATAATAGTTGAAACGAAATTATCAGTTAATTAGTCGTTCAAATAAGAGTGAAATTGATAAGCTGATCACATTGTGTTATCGTAAAATTGATAGTGTATTATTCTTGATAGTGTAAAATTGATAGTATTATTCTCCATGATGTCCATGATTCCTACATTATAAACGCAAAAATAAACATAAGAAATATTTGTAACATAATTGCGAAGTTATTTCACTGCACCAATTGATGTTTGAAATTTTATAATTTTAGATTTTGGATGATATGAAAATCATTAATGATGAAGATCTATTGCATATGCCAACAATTTGCTCGCCATCAACACAAAAAACAACAGAAACAAGTAGTAAATATGATAAACGAGCTAATAATTACCAAAATAGCAGTGAAAATAGTTCAAAGTCCAAACAATAGTTTTTGTATTGCAAAAAATGATTTTGACTTAATATCAGATTTAAATACTATCTGCAATTTATTCTTCTTGAATAGCAGCAAACATTCAAGTCGAAATATTCATTCACTTTTTTTTTTTTTTTAAATTATTCTTTGTTGTTTTAATTTATTTATTTAACATTTCGCTGTTCATTTATTACTCATTTTCTCTCAAAATTTCATTATTTTGATAGTTCAATTGATCACTTTTAAATAGTTCACAAGCATCATGCACATATGATAACATGAATCCTTCACATTGATCGAAATTTCGAGCAGTAAATTGAATGTCACATCCTGAATATTTTTGATATTACATATATATAAGCGCCTAGTCTAATTACTTTCTTTTTTCTCTTGCAAGAAGTGCACTAAACTATGTTGTATTTTCTACATGTTAACATCAAGTTTGATCTTGTATTTGCCTTATTTATTACGCTGAACCGAAAAAAAAAATATATATATATAATAGAGAACATTAATGTCGAACACATATGTATCACAATCAAGCGATTAAGAGAATACATGCAAAGATGTCAGAACCATAAGTTTCGTATAATTTAATATCATGATGTAGTAGAAAAGATAGCCGATACCGACTAAATTAATGGAATTCATTACTGAAACATTCAATTTCTAAAATTTGCATCCAAATGGTCATTGAAGCAAATAACTTCAATTCTATAATTCTACTACACTTGTCGGAACTCCAAAAATTTTATGGTTTTTTGAACCATTTCGGTAGATTTTCAGAATGTCGTTGTTTCAACTTCGATGGACCCGCATCATTTGCCAGTGATTCCGATTGACGCTTTCCATTTGGTCGAACATCCTCAGCATTTGTCACTTTTGGAACATAAGGTTGATAAATACCATTTACTGACAACCTGAACAAGGAAAAAAACAGATCTCGATCTATAAGTTTTAATTAAATCGAAATGAACAATATCATTGAATATATTAAATTCGGTTAATGTAGAAGAGAATCAAAAAATTTAGACAATCCACATGTTGAATTTTTTCATTCATTCTGAAGTGACAAATTCTATGAAAAATGCAAAGTAAAATTATTTGCAAACCATTGCGACAAAACATACCATTTGCGGCTAAGTTCATCAGCTTCTGGCATGGAAACTTCACAGAATTTATCTCGTACAAAATGAGCAGCTAAAAACAAAAAGAAATTTATGATATTTTTGCATTAGAAATGAATTAAATGTAAATAGAAAAAAAGACGTTCCATATAAAATCATCGATTATAAAGAAGGAATTACTATATTTTATTAATATTTTTCACAACAGCTGCAAAAAAAAAAAAAAAAAAAAACCTAACGAGTGGTTTTTTTTTTATTGGCATTTCATAAAATTGCGTTCAATGTAAAGAAAAAAAAAATTACCAAATGTATTTTCTTGTGAATAAAATCGTATATACAGTGAAGATTTCGGAGCAACACCGATTTCAATTAGATTTTTTAAGGTGGTCGACGAAAGCTTTTGATTTGCAAGACAAAGATCGAATTTTATCAGAGAGTTTTTCAAATTTTCTGTTACAAATTCAAATAATCTTGAAACTGAAATACAATCTATATTTATTTATTGATAGCAACTTTGGAGAAGCGCTGCGAAAAAACAACACTGAGATAAGCATGAAATAAATTTCAACTACAGATAGGAAAAAGTCATTTTGAATTAAATACACGTAAAAATTCATTTTGATGTGAGAATTAAAATGAAATCAGCAATTATTAAAAATAACCAGGTTCTCGTGAGATAAACTGAGCTTGTATAATCGTCCTATCTGCACAATTGAATCGTACTACCGTATGTTTGTAACTTTCTTCTTTTAGACGCTTATTTTTTTCAGCAATATATGTTTTTGGAAGCAAAGCTCTCTGCTCTTGTATACCTCTGAAAATTTACTCATGAAGAGTTCAATTACATCTACCGGAATTTTTTGATAGTTAAGTCTATACTTATAACTTTATCAAAAAAAAGAAAACAGCTCATCTGTTGTAGATATCTAATAAGAATTACCGTTTTCTATAAATTACCAACAATTTCTAAAACATTAATTTCAACCAATTCTCACTAAATTTCAGTTTTTTTACAGTGATTTATCTATTTTACATGCAGCTGGAAGCTAACATCATCGTCTTTAAATTTATATAAATCTGAAAAAACAAACGCCTCTGCTCTGAGATCCTGACGAATACTCCGTACATCGTTGACAGTAAGTTCGAAAAATTGATCATCAATATCATCTTGCTTTTTGATCACATCTTTTATGCTTTTATCCCATTCCAAATCTTTTCTGATTATGACAGGCATCCGGTCACATTTCTCAACAGCTAAATGTGACACTTCGGAAGAAGGCGTAATAGAGTTCTGTAACATTTTTTAGTAAAACAGTAAAAAAAAAAAATTCTTGTCCAGATTTTTGTCATCCAAACTATTTCCATTTTTATAGTAGCAAGATTACTCGGACAAAGATGTTGTTATAATTTCTAGAGTACTTCACTAAATATTTTTACACGCATTTATTTATTTACGATAAATCAGTGAAATAAGCAAATCGCAAGGGAATAAACTTGAACAGACAGTGAATAATAATGAAAAAATGGCTAACGATAATGGCAATTACTAATTTTTAAAACAAACAATGCAATTCAAAATGTTTTTCCAACCAAAGTTTAAAATTAAAAACTCACGCTCAGACGAACATTTTCTGTTCGTGCTGCTGTTTCTAAATCACTAAGATGTATTCTACCATCTTCTCCAATAAGCTGTTCACCAGGAAAATCACCTGTATTTGTTGTTAAACTAGTATTTACCTGCAAAGAACAAACAGTAAAGTCTAAAGCATTTCTTGCTCATTTCTCCGAGTTTAGTAGTGATTTATTTAGTGGATAGCGATAGAAACAATAACCTATGAATATGTAAAAAATAGTGAATTGCAGGATCAAAGAGTTACAATATCTCAAAAGATGCAAGTCCAAAATAATTGTTTTTTTGTAAAGAAATAAAATCAAAAAAAAAAAAAAAAAAAAAAGAATGCTGTAAACAGAAAAAGTGGATAAAGTAACACGTAGCTTTAACTCTATGAAACTTTAAAAACCAAAAGCTGATAGAATGTAATAAGCCATACAAACCAAATCCGCACTTAAATTAGAGCAATAACCGAAATAGCAACTAAATGAACGCATGATAAAATTGATGAATTTTTTTTTTTAGAAAATGAAAATTCCTTCAAATACGAAGAGATGATGTTTAGGTTTTCACAAAATTCGAGAGTATACATATGTTCGTGCAATAAAACAAATTTTAAAAAAGCACTTGATTAAGGAGAGATTGCAACTGAATGAGACGTGATGAAGCTTGAGGTAGTCTTTCAGCGTCTGCAACACATTCAGTTCCATTTTGAGTTTGACCAGCTGATGATAGCAGAGTAGTATGAATAGCATTTTCAGGATTTCTATAAGCAGTATGAATGAATCAAATTAAAATATTTCGGTACCAATCGAAGCTACTGACAACCAAAAAGACCCTAAACACAACCTTACTACTTAAGACGTGAAGAGTTCAAACTATCTACCTATCAGCTTCTTGACTGCGTTCCAACATACGAGTTGCTTCCGCTTCACGCTTCATCTTGAGTTCGCGTTCAAAAATCTAAAACATAAAGAAAGTCATAAAAAAGAAAAATGTATGATTTTCTATGAATGCGGTAACAAAAGCTTTGTTCTACCTCTTACATACATTTATACTGCAGAAAATTAGAGTCAAGAAAAGATTATAGGAATACCATATATGACCACAATAATTTCCACTTACATATATTTATTGTAGTTTAAAAGTTATAGTTTAAAATGTTTAAGTAAATGAGATTAAGAATATCGAAACATGCATAATCAGCGAATAAATAGCTCAAAATTTATAAATCACCGTAATGATTTTTGATGAATAGAAGAAATTAAAACAAATGATTCAATTAATAATTCTACAAGTCTTGTGTTTTCCTTTTTCCTATAATGGTTTCACAAATTTCCACACACAAGAAAATTTTCTTAATGCCTTCAACAATTAATCAAAATATATAACTGATTTTCACAGCGGTCTCAAACAATGTTCTCTTTTATTAAGCAATTTAATCTATATTACTAATAAGAAAAAAAAGCTTTATTTTTTATGATGTGGTACCTCTTCTCTTTCATTTTCTAACTGCAATCGACGTTCATTTTCCATTTTTCTTGTTTCATACACTTTTTCTAGCTTTTTCGTTCGCTCATATTCTTCGGCAAGTCGATTTTCGAGCTTAGACATTTCATTCTGTGACATACGCATCGCAAAATATCTGAAAAATCTCTAATCTTACAAACTGAAAGCATTTTGATACAAGTATGTTCCAATGAATGATTCATACACTCTTAGTGTCAAAAAAAAAAAAGTAAAAAAAAGGGTTCTAATTCATGCATTTGAAACATTAAATTATCAAAAAAAAAAAATCAAATCAAACTTAATTAAGACAGAATTAGAAAACTAAATTGCACTAATGGATCTATACAAATTAATTTTATAATAGAAAATGAAGTACCTGATCAAACAGCGCCCTCCTGTTATTCCCATCTTTTCCAAAGTCGTTAATTTAAGTTCTGCTTCTCCACGATACTATAAAATATATGGCGTAGTTAAAAGCCACAAATCATACCAAATAACATGAAATTAAAGTTGGGCATTAGTCTATATATACAGTAAGTTAGCTGATACTGTTCGATGTTTCATACTTAAATACTACAAACAAACCTCTTTGTTCATATAGGCACAACATGGTACTTGACCATCAGCACATTTTACTAAGTCCTGAGTTGACTTTTGAGAGAATTCATATAAAACATCCAACAAATTTGCTTTATTTGGAAACTGTCCCATAAAACGAGATCCATCTGGAAGCTAAAACTGTAAAAATAACTATAACTTAGAAATAAACTCTTTCCCAAATATTACACATCAAGTATGTTAACATGCAGCAGTCTGAATATTGAGTTTGCGGTGCTTAATTTTGGTTTTTCAAGACAACATCTAAACTTTTTTCATTTTATTTAATCTATCCTTTCCTTATACCATTACATTGTTGGTGAAAAATGAGAATCATATTATTCGAAGTTCGAAGTTGGAGTAGTTTAGGCTATGCTGACTGGTGTTCAGTATTTTATGTTAATCGCAAATAGCTATATAAAATTACCACTCCTACAAAAAAACAACAATAATATTAAACATAAAAATAAAAATATTATACATAAAACTATGCTGGAATACTTTAACTTAACCTATAGTACTCGAATCAATTCGAAGTTAAGTAAGTTTAAGTAAGATATCATCGATAGCGTAACATAAAGCTGAATTACATCAAACGGAAAAGTTTATATATGATATCCTGAAAGATCATGACTACATTGTAACCTTAGCTTATATCTAGCAGCATTGCAATTATTTACAGTTATTGCCTACTCATTTATAATACATAGAATAGGAAAACTCATATGCTTCAAATATATAAACAGCTGCATCAAATATATAATCATTCAATCATCTCAGATTAATCTACAAATATATAAATTGAAATACTCATACTTGTAAGGCAATATGAATCTGTCCTGGAATTCCATTACTAATGCTTGCACTTTGCACCATCTCAACGGTAGCATTATTGGGTAAACCAGTAAGACGAAGTGGTAACGCCAAATCTAACGTATGATTATGATGCTTTAACTGATGTGCTGATATATCGAAACCTTGCTTCAAACAAGCTTCTTCCAAAACCTGAAAAAATCTTTAATGTACTAAATAAAATAAAACTGAAAAAGGATCAATTTAAAAAATAGCTGAATTTGCACGAAAAAACCATGAAATGAAGCTAATTAGAAATTGAAATATAATGGAATAGGTTGGTTCTAAAGTATCTATTTTAGTAACTAAATTAATTATTTATAAAATCATCAAAATTATTAAGAACCAAACCTTACGAAGCTGAGTTGATGGTGTTATTTTTACCACACAACGACGAGAATTGGGACAAATAACAGTTATGCTATTCATCTTTTCTTATCTTAAAAAAATGAAAAAAATAATTCTTAAATAAAACTTGCACAAAAATGATGTTATAAAGTGCAGAAATCACAGAAATAATAAACGATGCAAACAATTCGTAAATAAGTGCCAAAGCAATATAATTACACGCTATAAATGAATATTTTGTATTCAACTTGAGTAATTTAAACATCTGTAAGCTACGATCAGTTAATCATCATGTATACCTGTATCGTTAGTGATATTTTATGCATGTTATACAAGGAATATTCATCCATTTAATTTTTGCTTATATCAAGAAAATAATGCATCCTTGGATATGATCAAATTAATAACAATCTTTCATGGAATATGAAAGCAACAACTAGAAATGTCTAAGAGAATAGAACTATTTATAGGTGAGATCTTAGTTTAAAAATTTTTTGATTTTTAACAAATATATAGCATAATCTGCTTTTCAGGATGTTTAATGAAATAAGCAGCAATGTAATTTTTATTATATTAATATTTATTTATAACAATCCTACTGTACAACATATATGCATTAACATTAACAAAATATGACTATGCATCACATAATGATCAATTAGCTTTTTTTCTTTAATTGCAAAATACTTTGTAACACACACTACAGAGTAGCAAAAAAAAAAAAAGAAAAAAAAAGCAAAAGAGCAACAAATGAAATGATAATTAGGCGCCGCAAATATAAGCTATATACTATTGTCCAGTAGTGATATTCTAGAAAAGTTGCATTGTTTACGTTATCAGAAAGTCCGCTTAGATATTATTTGTGTTTTTTAAACAACAACAACAAAAAAAAAATGCTACCTTGATTTAATAGTTAAAGAAAAAATAATCTGAATTGATGCACGATAATGTTGTATTAAAATGAACCAGCCATGGACAGCTGAATAAAAATCTGGAAAAGCCCAATTAATAAACTCAATTTAGTCACATCAAAAGAAAAGGTGTATAACAGTATTATTACTCCTCCCATTTTGAACCGGCTGAGCCATTTTTTTTTTTTTTTTTCGAAGTCCTAAATCACGGAGAAGCAGATAGTTTGAATAATTAAAGTAACCAAGATCCACTAAAGTAATCACTACAATGATTTTATTATAACCGGAATAATTATAATTATCTGAAATGCCTACAAGTTAAATGACCTTCAATTTACAGATCAATCAAAAAATTTCTCACCTGAAAAACCGGATTTCGTTAATCACAAAACTGGACAGATATAAGAAAGCAACAGGAAGTGATAAACAAAAACAAATGAGAAAGTTGCACTGTATAACATTACACGCATATAAAACATCTGGAGCAATCAAATGTCAGAGATGGAAACTGTAATGGAGCTTTTCACTTTCCGAATTTCGAATTATTTAGAAAAATAAAGAGGAATGAAAGAAAAAGAAGATTAAAAAGTCTATCCATTTTCCATGAATATTCCATTAAATCAACGCACTATAAGGAATGACTTAGAATGACAAATTACACAACAGACGGTTAATCTTTACAAACAAACAACGAAGAAGAAAATAAAAAATAAGCTTTAGCATCACTAGAGGTCGATGATAAAATCAAAGACACACTTGCAACATTCCGCTCCCAATTCAATAACAACATTAACTTTTAAGGCGATTGAGAAACAGGACTTAATCGTTGACGTTGCAAAGCTTCATCTTCAGGACGCCTTGCAATATTTCGTGGTGGTATTGGTGGGGCCAGATGTGGAACTGAAAACTATCTCATGCTTTATATTATGTGAAAATTTTCTCACAAAAATGGAAAAATTCCTTAAAAATTATGTCCGTAACTGATATTTTTAATAACATTTCATTCATTAGATACTAAATTCATGGCAAATATCTGTAAATAAACAAGATACTAGATTTATTTAAATAGATCATGTTTTCTAGTTTAAAAAAAGTTGGGTGTAAACAGGGACGATATTGCAATTTCATGAAAATAAAATTTCACCGGAATCCACAGAAGTCGGTGGAGCATGATCTTGCAGTCCTTGATCAACGCTCGAAAAACTACGATAAGAACTTCCTGCAGTACTTATTCCACTTTCAGCAGGAGTAGGTGGCGAAGTGAGATCCAGCGTGTATGGTCGTTGTGGCCGATATCCTACGGCTGCTCCAGGTAAGGCTGGTGCCTGTATTTCGGGTGGACCTTGTGCACTGCAATATTTATTTAATTTGGTCAAGTATTAAAATGGAGAAATTAAATAAATTTGTGAGCGCAAATTTGATAATTACATCCTTCTCAAACAATTCCATTTCAGCACTTTTCACCATTCTGTAAATTACTTTGTGCCCATACAAATTTTTTTTTCTGGATTTTCTAAAACACCAAAAAAAAAAAACCTCACCTCTCAGAAATATGATGAATAGCATCACCAAGAACAAAACTTTCTTTCTGGTCGTTACAGTGATCAAGAAACGGCGGAGATATACTTAGCTATAAAAAATTAGCATTTAATTTCCAACTTGATACATCATTACAACTTAATTTTTATTCAAGAAGAGTTATCATAACATATTTTAATTCATGATTGCAATTTTAAAATAATCCTATTTAAATTTTGAATAGCGAAACACTGTATACAATTTCACTTTAATAATACTGAAATTGTGGCATTAATTTCTACTACATTAGTGCATTTTATTAAAAAATATACCAGATTTTGTTCGGTTGCTGACATAGGTATATATGAATTGCTTACATTCAATGTTATACCACGTAATGATCGATCGATAAAAAATGATGAGTCGTCACAGAATGAAGCTAAAAAATTCTTGTTTCCTTTCAAGAATACTTGGAAAAATTAGTCGCTTTTAAAATAGTCCGTGTTGTGCCATTAATTTGTGCAAAATATTATACAGAAATGTTTGAGAAAGAAGAAAAATATCGAGGAAGTATAAATCAAAAACAAACCACTTTCACTGTTAAGGGAATTAACTGAATGCTTTGTAGCATCTATATCCAAGCCACCTTCAACAGGACTGTCTAAGGTTACTGAAAAATGAAGTTTTACATAAAAACAAAGAGATAAATTTTCTAAATTAAAATAAAAAAGAAAAACTAAATTTTTTAAAGCTGATTAAACTTATTACACAGAAAGGGAATTTATAACGTTTCGACAAGCATCCTACAAACTCACTAAAATTATTACAGTGACACTTTGGAAAATAATAGCAACCACCAAAATTTAACCTGATTATCCGATTCTCAAAAATGAGAATGGTAGATATAGAGTATTAGTAAATCTGATCCTATGAATATACCGTTAATTTCAAAAAAAAAAAAAAACTACCAATTAATTCAAATTTCTTCTTTTGCCACAAATTAATTTAAATAAAACAAAACTTACTTTGCGTCAGAGTATTGCATGAAACTTTCATTTCATTTGGTGGTTTATATGAAAGATTTTCGATTGTACTCAAACCATTATTACTAAGTCGACCATCACATGAAGTAGAGAAAGAAGGACTTTTTGAGGAACGCTGAGTTGTACTGAAAGAAGTGATTTATGAGACAAATGGAAAATAAAACAAGACAAAAAACAAAAACAGCAGTGCTTTTGTTGATTATTTAAGGTTAACTCATAAGAAATACTAACTTCTAAGCTTTGTCTCATATCCACGATATTAACTTCTAAGCTAATTTAACTCAGTTTTGACTACAAAAACTCAAAATATTTTAATTTACCCATGATTATTTTGCGAATTATTCGGAATTAGGACAAAACTCACTTGAAAAAAATTCGAGATGTAGATGTCGATGCTCGACCACGTGGTGGAAAATTTTTCGGCAGAATATATAACGGATTCTCCATCATTCCTGGATCTGATGCTTCAGATAATTTTTCATATGGTGCTCGTTTAGCTGAATACAACTCATCGCTCGAACAATAAACCGATACTGGACTACTGCTCACCGGATATACAGCACTGGTTTGCGATGGAGTTGCACTAATTCGCCGTTCGCCAGATTTTGTAAATGTTCTGTAACAACAGATCAAGATATTACAAATGACTACTAGAATCAATCAAAATTTCGAGTTTTATGAAAAAAGTCCAACATCAGCGACTACATTTATTTTGAAATTAAGCTGGAAGTTAAAGTGGAAATTTACTTCGAATTCTCGGTCAAGTCATATTTGTTGCTTTCTGTACCAGTAGAATACTTTTTCTTTCTGGAACAGAAAAAATTTCCCACACGGATTAGTGAGAGCATGATGTTATTAAAATATGCTTCAATCTTTTCATCTCTTCTACTTGATTTCTCATAAAATTGCAACGAATAAGTGCTAATTAAATCAAACTAGAAAAAGGATAGTAGAAAAAACATGAAATCCAGCACTATCCAATCAAATATAAATCAAATATCAAACATAAACGAACGTACTCTAATAACCAGAAAAACTATCCAATATGTTGCAACCTCAAGAGGCAACAACAAAAATAAGTTTTTCTTTTTTTGAAATAATCTAAGTAAAAAGAAAAAAATAAACTTACTTCCCAGCTTTTGTTGGTGATGGCTTCGTTGGACTTTTTATTCTAGTATGTTTTGATGGCGTTATATTCTGCAACTAATTTAGGAGTTATGATTGTATGACTACATACAACTTGTTAAAAAATTACTTCTCATGAAGCTATGGAGGTAGTTCACTTTTATTATAGAAAGAATAGTAGTGAAGAAACAAGCTAAGTTTAGAGTACATTGTGGTCTACAAACTACTCAAAAAACTTCATTTAAAGCACATGCTCAAATCCCTAACTAAGCTTTCTTTTTTATAATTACTTTCAAAATTGCGGATGGTCCGATTGTGGATGGACCCAAAGGTGATCGAGCAATCATTGATTTCGGAAATGTTCCAGCAACTTGTCCTACAAAAGCAAAAACAATGAAAGAATGAAATTTCACTGAAACGTATTAAAGCTTACAGTTCCACACATACTTCGTCCATCAAACAGTATAGCAAGAAACTTTCCGGT